TAAGGTTTAGGGTTTAGGGTTTCCGGCCGTAGGCCCCGAGGGCTCAGGATTGGTACAAGCAGTCGGGTTTGTGTTTTGGTCGGGTTTGGTTCAGGACTTAGGGATCCGAAGGTCTAGGGTTTGAGGGTTTAGGTTATTGGGACTAACTTTAGTTGCAGCATTTGCGGTGTTGGGGTGGCAGTTTGAGGATTTTGGTTATTAAGACTGACTTTAGTTGCAGCATTAGGGCTTGAATTTGCGGTGTTGGGGTTGCCGGGACTTGGCTGTGCATGCTCACATCTTCGAACCCCGGAAGCAGGAGCCTGAAAAGCCTAAATCCCAACACCCCCAACCCCACAAGGCCAAAACCCTAAAACCCCCAAAGCCCAAAACCAAAATCCTAAACTCTTTGGATGCTGTTTGCCTCACTTAAGCCCTACAACTGCAAGCGAAGGTCGCGTGTGACACTTCCTCGACGGGACCGGTCGCTGGAGTTCTGCAATACGCGGCTTGGGAGACGTTTATGTCCGGTGTAGGGCTTTGGGTTTGCCAAAAATCCTCGACCCTAAACCCTAGTAAACCAATAAGCTTTACATAGACCCAAAAAAAACCTTAAACCCTAAACTCCAATACGCCGCGAACCCGACGAAACCCCAAGCCCCAAACCCCACTCCCAAGAAACCCGAAGCTCTAGACCATGTAACTAGGTTTGGCGAATCCTCTTAGGAAGCCCAGACCCTCGCGACAGACGAAGTACTTCCCAGTCCTAAACGAGCGATCCCTTGAAACCGTAAAGCCCGAACCCCCAAACCCCCCAAACCATTCAAGCCCTGAGGGCCTAAAGCAAAGCCTGCAAGCCCCAAACTCTAAACTCTACATCTTCATGGCCTTAGTGCTTAACATTCCATCCTAAAAATCCTACAGTTTCAATACCTGATGACGAATGCTTTCCGATTCCAAGCGGCTCTTTACTTTGACCTAATATACGGGCCTCAATAATGAGAATAGCGTTCCTTTAGAGCGTTTTGCAAGGGCTACCATAAGGGCTATCACAAGGAATAGGGTTTGGGGCGGATATTCTACTATAAATGCAATAAGGAATCCCGAAAACCCTATCCTACTGAAGACAGCCGAAACTACCGAAACCATAACGACCCAAGCCGACAACCCGAGTGCAGGGGTCTTCAGAATTGCGTTTTGTCCGTTATAGTAATTTTATGGTACTCATATCATGGGACGTATTGACTTTCAACTGCAAGGCACTCAGAACTTAGTAGACTCAGACCAGGCCTAACAAGAAATACATAGAACCTTGCTAAGACTTACAGCCCCGTCGTTGCGGCAGGGTTCCAGCCTCAGCGCCCGGCGCAATTCATAGGGAACCAAAAAATGGGGTTAGGTTCCCAAACCCTAAACCCTAAACCCCTAAACCCTAAACTCGGGTCTAGGGTTTACTTTTTTTTTACATGACGTTTCCCGGAATTAGGCGATCATGTCAGTGTGTGGGTCTGGGGGTTCGGTTTCTTATACTTGGGAGATCATACAAGTGTACGGGTCTAGGGGTTCAAGGTGGAGTAAATCAGGACTTCCAAACACAACCGTCTTGAAGCCCTTCTGGCTTCCAGCCACCAAGATTTGAAGCCGGATTACCCTCAAACCCTAAAGCCAAGAATTCCCCTTTTGGGGCTGGCGCCAAAGCGCGCAGACACGCGCGCACGGCCATAACAAAAAGAAGCCAAAGACGACTACGAAACCCGAAACCCCAAACCCTTAAACCCAAAACCCTAAAGCCAAGGATTACTACAAAACCCGAAACCCTAAACCCCAAACCCCCAACCCAAAACCCTAAAGCCAAGCATTACTACGAAACCCGAAACCCTAAACCCTTAAAGCCAAAACCCTAAAGTCCTAAAGCCCAGGATTACTACTTCACGAAGATCGTTTTCAGCAACCTCCGCTATCCGGTCCAATCTGCGGAGCTCACCATCGGCGGGAAGAAGCACCAGATGAAACTCATTGGTGGTGCCTTGGTGCTAGGGTTCCTTTAAGGGCCCCTTGAGAATCTGCACAGATTCTACAAGGATTTGTATAATAGGTGCTTTAGGAGCAGTTTTATCATTTTGGGGAGGATTGAAATTGGGTGTTGTTTTGAAAAATGTGCTTAGCGTTCGATCGGTTTGTGGTGCTGTAGGGTTTCGGGTTTAAGGGTGTCGTTTCTTCCTAGACCCACCCTGTAAGCTGTAATGCTCAAAGGCCTAAAGACCTAAGCCCGTAGAACTACGCCGTACAGCTGAGGATGGTGGTCGGCCTGGACCGGACCCATTCAGGGGAAGACCTCCTTCCGGATCACAGAGGAGAGACACGGCTCGGCCTTGGTTTTGTAGCGTGCTCTCTTCTCATTCCTATGTTTTAGGCCTTTCATTGGGTCTTGCTCTTGTGTCATTCCGATGTCCAAGGGTTTTTTAGACCCTCGACTCAAAGGCCGAAGACCCAACAGCTCCAAACCCTCGTACTCAAGGCCCAAAACCCCAGAGCCTTAAACGGCCCTCCGCCTTAGACTCTGCTCGAATTTGTGGGTGCGTGGGGAGCCGACGCAACCGACTGGGGCTTGTGGAACTCACCTTCCAGTTTCCTCCGGGGCCACTCCCTAGACCCTAAAGCCCAACACTGACGGGAGTTCTATTTAATTTTCCTCCTCGGCCGCTCCTGTCCCACGTTCCCGACCCGATATCTTCTCTGAGGGCTTTGGGTGCGTGCGGTACGGGCGGGGACTTGCTGTAGTTAGTAGAGCTATTCCTTCGGAGCACTTTCATGCCCCGGCCATAGCCACAAAATAACTGCCCCCGCTCATGCCTCGTTTTGGCTATTTAGGCTGGTGCTGGCAAACCCTAAATTTTTTGAATTACTACTAAACCCATCCCTGAGCCAACCCTAAACAACAGCAAGCCCTAAACCCTAAACCCCAAACCCTAAACCCCAAACCCTAAAACCCTGAGCCCCAAACCCCAAACCCTAAACCCTGCACGACTCGGCTGAGGAACGGCTACGTCGTGAACTTTCCCACCTGCTTCAACGGCGAGTGGAAGAACCGGAAGACCGGCGACGCGTGCTACGCAAACAGCGGCCATCGCTCTGCAAAGCTCCTGGCCAATGACACCCTGCTACTTGAACTTAAAAGTCGTACATGAAGTGTTATAGTATACTATGGTCTATTATCGCATACTATTGTATATTATGGTAGGTCTCTTGAAGAGTTGAGTAGTGTTTGTTAAGAAGATCAGCTGAAGTTGCCATCACGAGGATGTTGCGGATGACTAGAAGTGCGTTAAAGTCTGATTACGCGTTCCTGTGTTTAGCAATGTTTTCTGGCCAAACACCATGGATTGATGCTGCGTTGAAAGCGATCATCACGAGGGTCACGACATGGCTCTCGCGAGAGAGGGCTCGGAAGAGAGCTGTACACCCTAAGCCTTTGACCCCTAAGGGCACTGGGCCCGGAACCCGGCCGCCCAATCTCTGGTGGGAGGTTTCGTTGTTACGCTGAGGTTGTCCCTTTTAGCGGGGGCTTGAGATCTAAATCTCACGGGTGAACCTATTTTCTGGACAGCAAAATCCACAGAAGAATGAGCCAGACACAACTCACCTTGCCTGCAGCCCTCGGCACAACTGCCCGCGAACGTGCAAGCATACAGCCGTGAAAAAGGTAATGTATCGTTTTGGCCTTAAACTACCACCATCAAGAGCATCTCATCAAAAACGACCTAAGATGTCACTGTGTATGGCTCTTCCTCGCTCCTTATGAAGTAAAGGCTAAGTCGGGCTCCGGGTGGGGGTTTAGGCACCAAGGGCCTGACCCAAGGATAACCATAAACCCTAAACCCTAAACCCCTAAACCCTAAACCCTAAACCCCTAAACCCTAAACCTTAAACCCCTAAACCCTAAACCCTAAACCCCTAAACCCTAAACGTCTGCGGGATCGAGTCCAGGAGGCCCACACAGCAAAGCAGCGACCCAAAGCCGAAAGCCCACAGAGACCCGGCACTTCAAACTCTTGCCTAAAGCCCTCAAAGAGGCCGAAAGGCCTTCGCTTTGGGGTTCGGGGTGCAGAGTTGGGGCGTAAAGTTGAGGGTGTCATCGCAACGCTGCAGAAATTGCTCGCAGATCCAGGTCAGAGGGCCTTGAGAAGACCCTGGATCTGGCAAAGGCGGAGAGTAACGTGACCCAGCAGCCGCAACTGCAGGCTAACAACACCGTCCTCTTCCCTTAGACTGAATTATTGCGTTTAGGCATCTCAGGGTTTAGTGCCAGAGCTGCTGGCCTTGTTCGCGACCTCATGACCAGCATGAGCCGCTAATTCGAAGGCAGAGATCCCACCGCATCTTCTCGGGAGGCTGCGGAAGGGCTCTGATAATCCAGCCTGCACGCCCGCCCTCGGGTGGGGATCCTTTTGCCCGTCTCAGTGTACGGCACGACGAGCCTCACGGAAGGCCGTCATGGATTGCATATTTTCCACATTTAATTCAGGGCAGCAAGCCGCCTAAGTGCATCAAGCTGCCGATGTGAGTTGTAGCATCGAATGCCTGCGACATCTATGTAGCAGCAAAATGGCGTGGGCCTTAGCACGCTTGACTTGCGAACCTCTCCTTTATGGTTTACCCTTATTGTCGTTACATGAGCAAGATACTGTTACAGAATGTGTATGTGTATAAATATACACATAAATGAGCGTAAAAACACACCCAGCGCCCGGTTAGAGGCCCCTGTGTTAGTGGAGGGATTATCTGGGTTACTTCGGGACCCCATGGTGTTCTCATAGTTTGTTGGTAGGGTTTGAAATGACTTCGGGCCTATGTCAAGGATGTTGTCGAGCGTAAACATGGGGCCTTTAGGAACACTTTGCGTCAGCGTTTTTGGTCTTACAATGAGGAGACCGGTCAAAAAAACATACAAAACTTATTTCGTCACATCCCGAAACCCTCACCTCTGTGAGAGAGTCAGCCGCACACATGGATGGACCGAGGTCAGCTGCCCGATTATTGCTGGAGGAGTTTAGGGTCTCGGGCCAGGGGTTTAGGGCCTTGTGTTTCGACCGCAGCTTTTAGGCTTTAGAGTTTATAGTGGGACTCTCGACCGTCATTGTCGCTCATGGGACTTTTCGCCGCCCGAAGATGGAGTTCCCTTAGCAAGCTCCTGCAGAACCCCATAACACCCTATCAGACCCTTATACAACTCTGACAGAGGAGCAAAACCCTAAACCCCAAGCCCAAAACCCTAAACCTTACATGGTAGCAGCCGCGAGGATCCCAGGACCAGCCGCGAGCTCCGCCTCGCTGCCGGAGGCATCCTCCAGGCGGACGCTTTGGGCACTGCCCCAACCCTGCAACAGTCCATATTCATAGGAGGCCAAAAGGGGTTTTAGCCTATGGGGGTTTAGTAGGGATTAGGGTTCCCATAGTAGGGTTCATACTAAGGAATCCCTACCCCAAGAATCTTAAACCACCCTTTTGGCCTCCCATCAGCTTTGGGCACTGCCCCAACCCTGCAACAGTCCATATTCTTAGGGTTGAGGGTTTAGGGTTCAGGGTTGTGAGGGTTTTGGGGCTTGGGATTTTGGTTTAGGGTTTGAGGGTTTGGAGTTTTCGGGTTCAGGGCTATATACAGATATATTGTAGATAATCTCTAGCTGTTGCAGAGTGGAGGGGGAAGTACCCAGCGGATGCTTCAACTTGCATTCCTCGCTTGAAACCCTCCATCCTAACCCGCAGCCCTAAACCCTAAACCCTTAGCCCGGAACCCTAAACCCTGACAGTCCTATTCAATGACTTTGGGAAAGCCGGTATATGATTTAGAACATGCCGACGACACATTATTGATGGGGTCGGTGGGTCCTTCGCCAAATCCATCCAATGCTGGGGTTGAACTGGAACTTTGCCGCGGGTTGAAGGGCCTGGAGTTGGGAGAGCGAACTCAAAAAGGTGTTCCAGCTGACACTGATGAAGCTTGCCGGGTCCTTCACTAAATCCGTCCAATGATTGGGTTGAACTGGAACCTTGCCGCGGGTTGAAGGGCCTGGAGTTGGGAGAGTGAACTCAAAAGCTTTTCCAGCTGATGCTGATGATGTCTGCCGGGGTGTTTAATGGTCCGGTGTTGGGAGAGTGAGCTCAAAAAGGTTTTCCAGCTGATGCTGATGATGCTCGCCGGGTCCTTCACTAAATCCGTCCAATGATTGGGTTGAACTGGAACTTTTCCGCCGGTTGAAGGGTTTTGAGTTGGGAGAGTGAATTCAAAAAGGTTTTCCAGCTGATGCTGATGATGTTCGCCGGGGTGTTGAAGGGCCCGGTGTTGGGAGAGTGAGCTCAAAAAGGTTTTCCGGCTGATGCTGATGATGCTCGCCGGGTCCTTCGCCAAATCCGTCCAATGATTGGGTTGAACTGGAACTTTGCCGCGGGTTGAAGGGCCTGGAGTTGGGAGAGTGAACTCAAAAAGGTTTTCCAGCTGATGTCGATGATGCTCGCCGGGTCCTTGGCTAACTCCGTCCGATGATTGGGTTGAACTGGAACCTTGCCGTGGGTTGAAGGGTTTGGAGTGGGGAGAGTGAACTCAAAAAGGTTTTGCACCTGATGCTGATGATGCTCGTCTGGGGGTTGAAAGGGCCCGGTGTTGGGAGAGTGAACTCAAAAAGGTTTTCCAGCTGATGCTGATGATGCTGGCCGGGTCCTTCGCTAAATCCGTCCAATGATTGGGTTGAACTGGAACCTTGCCACGGGTTGAAGGGCCTGGAGTTGGGAGAGTGAGCTCAGAAAGGATTTCCAGCTGATGCTGATGATGCTCGCCGAGGGGTTGAAAGGGCCTGGTGTTGGGAGGGTGAACGCAAAAATGTTTCCAGCTGATGCTGATGATGCTCGCCTGGTCCTTTGCTAAATCCCTCCAATGATGTGGTTGAACTATGTTGAACTGCAACCTAGAGTTAGAGTCAACCTTACTATGTGGAATGTTGCTAAACCCTATCAGGACGGAGCATTTACCCAACCCTCAAACTACACCGCAAGCGCTCTACTTTGCCAACCGTGATCCAATTCCACAACCAGATTCCTTTGAACATCTTAGGAACACAAGTCTCATGGGATAGCCCCACAAGCAGCCATAGAGGACTGCAAAAACAAAGCACAAGCAGTGTAAATGGAATTGCAGCAGCTGTGGCACAGTAAATGAAACGCCTGCACCAACGTCAAAAGTGTTCACTCCACAATCGTGCCATCCTTGTAATGTATGGGTGGTTGTCAAAATTAGGGTCCCTTTTTGGGTACCCTAAACATTAGGTGTCGTACTATCAAAAGGGACCCCCAAAAGGGACCATAATTTTGACAAACGCCCATATGGCCTAGTCACCCTCACGCTAGGAATCCGTCACTTCAATTACAATCGATGTCTGGCTTCACCAGTTACCACGGAGACGTATAGGCATTGAAGCTTCACACTCCTCCCACATATGCAACCGCAGGGTTCCAAATCTTACCGGAAAAGCAGGTTTTCACAATTGTGCAAAACCCTGGCTACACCACCTCGCGATTCAAGCTACCACGTGGTCTTCTACTTCTACCCAGGAGATAGGGATCGCATAAAGTTTACTGAGTTTGCTTTCAAAGGACACCCACAGCGTTAGTGGCAAGTGACAGAATGGGTTTTACAAGCTTTCCAAACCTACTTCGACCAGGTATTGATTTGGCTGGACGCAAACGCCATTTACATACCCCGAGTGGAGCCTACAATTGGAGACTGCGCCGATGCACTTGCTGCCTTGTTGAAAAGCCACGTCACCCTCGGATGCGCATGGCAACCGTAAAAAATCCTGAACCTTGAGCCCTGAACTCTGAACCCTGAAGCCCTGAAGTAAACCCGCAAAGCAGACACAGCACTAGATCTTCCCCCGTGAGGCCATCGCGGCGCCTGACGACTTGGATACGGCTCGTGACTTGATCAGGGTATACCCAGAAACAAAGCACAAAGAACAACGAAACCCTAAACCGCAACGAAAGCCTAAACTCTTAAGAGCCCCCCAAAAAAATCCCAAATTAATTTCTGGCCTAAACTCTTAAGACCCTGTAAGCCCTCGTAAGTCCTATGAGCTCTAAAACCTTTCCTGGACCCGGTAACTGAAGGCCGCCCAGGTCACGAAGCCTCACCCAAGTTGAGATGAAGTGGACTTTGCATTTTGGATTTTGTGACTTTGGGGCAACTATAAGCAGCGGATTCATATTATGATGTAAGCTGCATTCCTTAATTAAGGGGTATTGGGCTCTAGGGTGTAGATTGGAGACTTTGGGGTTTGGAGATGTTTGGGACTTTGGGGTTCATGGTTGGGACTTTGGGGTTCAGATTTTGTATATCGATCGCCTGAGAAAAACTGATGTTTGGGGAGGGGGGGGGGGGGGCGTAATCAATGCGTTGCTTCATATTGGGGTCGAACTACCATATCTCGGTAATTCTGTCCATTTAGGCCCGCTCAAATCTCCGTTTACGATCCTATATAACTCTGACTCAAAGCCTTATAAGACCGTATGCAGCCCTTATGAACACACAGTTCTACTGTGTTACGGTCCCTATCCCCAAAACCGTAAACCCCAAACCCCAACCCCACCCTCTTCAAAACCGAGAAGACCTCAATCCTACCCCTGAGGCCTAGCGCTCGTGGCTCTCCATGAGCGGTACAGCTGCCACTGTGCCTGCAAGGAGAAGAGCTCTGAAGGAGTGCTGTGAGGGTTTCGGGTTTCGGGTTCAGGGTTTAGGGTTTAGGGGTTGAGAGTTTAGGGTTTAGGGGGTTTAGGGGGTTCAGGGTTTAGGGTTTCGGCTTTAGGGCGCAAGGAGAAGATTTCTAAAGGAGTTCTTTGAGGGTTCTGCACGAGCTTCTCGAAGGGTCGAAGGGTTGCTCTACGGGCAGGGTTTACGGTTTGTGGGTTTAGGGTTATAGGTTCTCTGGCTTTAGGTTTTGGGCTTTTTAGAGTTTAGCCAACAGGGACCTTGATAAAGACCTCAACAAAGTGCGATGCCGAATATATGCCCCCCCCTCTTCAAGCAACATTCCCAAATTTCAGAGCCTCGACGACATTGAGGCTCCCTTCGTGCCCATGCAGCACAAGCGCTGCGAACGATCGCAGGGCCACGGGGTGCTTGCAACGGAGCGATACTGGCAGGGCTCTCCGACCTGGCGGCTTGTCTGTCATAGGTATGCTCAGGGTAGTATAGGAGTCTGAAAAGTCAGTAACGGTATTCCCTTCCAGTTGTTATTATATTGTAATTACTGGATTAACCCCCAAAGCCGTGTTCTAATCATAAAGGCCTCCGCACCGGCAGTCTGCAGGAGAAAGGCCCAAAACACTAAAAAGAACTTTGCAACCAATACCTTTAAGCCCGAAAGTAAAAGCACACATTCCACATTTCCCAAATGCCACCCAAAGTTTGAGAAACAAACGAAGAGGGCTTCCCCAGCCCTGCCAAGCAGAGGTGCGAACTAGCGACTTTCCCGAGGCGGAGGGTGGCTGGAGCATGGGGAGGACTTAGGAGAAGAGGGCTTTGGAGTATATTGTAGTCTGACGACATCGCCCCGTGCATATTGCCATTTATAAATATAATATATACATATGATATAGGATTAAACACAGATATAAATATAGATATGATTATGACTATGAATACAAATAAACTAGTGTATATTGATTAGTGAGATTTCAGACATCTTATGGTGTTTTGAGGTTTCAGGGTGCGAGCAAACCCAAAACCGCCAAAGCCCTCGATCTCAAGTTATGCAGCACGGGCAGGTGAGGTGTGAAGCTGTGCAGCTTCTGGGTCAGCTGGATGATTTCGGCGGAGACGCAGGCCGCGGGCACCGAGGCTTAAGATAATGAGGCCTCTATGACGACATTACAGGGCTTTGCAGTGGCTGAACCCTAACCCCTCAAACCCTTCACCCTGGACCCCAGGCCCTAAACCCCTGAACCCTAAACCCGTAAATGCCAAACCCTCAAACCCTAACCCCCCAAACTCTTAGCCCTGGACCCCAGGCCTTAAACCGGGCCAGGCATGACCGCGTGCACTGCCGCTCTGGACGATGCAGAGGAGGAGGCCTTCTTCCCAGAGAGCCCAACACAGAGCGATCTAGGGTGTATTAAGTGGGCCTTAATTTAATCATTAGAACAGGGTTTTGGTATATGTTATAATACAGTTATAATCAGGCGCCCACAAAATAGTATTGGTATTTGTCTAGCTAGGCCCCTGCCTAGGGTTTAGGAAGATACTTGAAGCTTGTTTAGCATTTTCAAGGTTCAGGATATTTAGGGGTTTTAAGGGATAGGGTAATAAACATCATGAGCCGCATAGGTATTCCTGTCCTTTACCGCAAGTTATATAGACATCCCTGCTAAAACATTTTCGGTCTATTCCTCAAGAAGGGGATTGAGGGGTACTACGTTCTCTAGGTCGTCAGTATCTGAACTATCGGGGAACTCTCTAACTCCTAGGCCCAAACTAAACCCTAAGCTTGGAGCGGTCTTGCACGTGGGCCTGGCATCTGTTCGCTATGTGCCAAACTAGCGCACAATAGTTCCGGAAGTTTAAGTTAGGAGATTCAGAAAATGAGATACCTACTATGGAGTCTATATTGTACCGTTTGGGGCTTAGGATTTGTGCCCAAGGTTAAAGGTTTCTGTATTGCAGACCCAAATCCTAGAATCCTGTTTCTGAGGACCCTGAAGCATGTTGGGCCAAGTTATAAGAAACCGTGCTTTGTTAAACACAGAGCGACCTGACAAGCCAGATCCGCAAGCAATGTTGACGTAACGGAGTTATACCGTCTACCTTAATGGACGTGAGAAGAACTGCCCGCAAACAGATGCCAAAGAACCCTTAAACCTGAAGCCTAAACCATAAACCTCCACTACCTGAAGCCCCCAAAGTAGGTAAAATAATGGCCCAATATCTATAAAAGGGCATTATTCTACATACTTTGGCGGTCCAGGTAAACCCTAGCCAATTCCTAAACAAAACCCCTAAACCGCAGAACACCATGGGCCCTATGCCTCGCCTTTCGAAGGTGGCGAGGGCAGCAGTGCAAGCCATCTCGGCCCTCTTCCCCCCAGAGCCGAGCGCCCTGGCCAAGAGCTTGTGGGCTCAGGGTTTAAGGGTTTAGGGTTTAAGGGTTTAGGGTTTAGGGTTTAGGGTTTAGGGTTCAACCCCACATCTATCCAAAGTAACTATACCCTAGTGTAGCCTTGTAGTCCGCACATTAGTAACACTGTGATACCAGCCAAACCCGGTTCTGATTATTCAGGCCGGCCGGAGCCCCTGAACCCAAGTGTCCGAAGCCTTAAACCCCAAAACCCTACATCTCCCAACCCGAAGATCCGAAACCTCCAAAGCTCAAAGCCCAAAGCCCTGAGCCACTAAACCCTACGCCCTCGACCCTATGACCCTCAACCCTACACCTGAAGCTAAACCTGTAGCCTGAACCCCAGGTCAGGCATCGGAAGAGGCGCTTCGGGGCCTCCTTGCGAAGTTGACTCCGGATGCGTGCTTTGGGCAGCTGCGCTGTGACATTTTGCTGGTCCTGCCGCGCTTGGCAGTGTTCCTCGGCATGTCGGTTTGAGGGGGGGTAAATGGGCTATGTTTGTGTTTCGGTGCAGTTTCTGTTGGCTCCACGCTTACAGGACAAGCTCTGGTTGTTGGGACTGCTGTTTACGTTGATTAGTATCCCCCTCAGAGTCCCGACAGGAGCCTTTGTTTCACCCTCAGGTGTCAAGTGGCTTGAGCTGTGTAGAAGTTACCGAAGTTCAGCTGTAGGTTCTGCTGCGTTAGCTGCGAAAGGACCCTAAACCCTAAGCCCAAAACTGGTTGCAAGGTGTGATCGCTCGCGCACAGCATCAGCAGCTGCTGCTTGTCTTCTGGATCCGGACCTGTCTGTGAGCAACGCGGCGGTGCAGGCAGTGAGACTTGCAAGCACGCTTACCCTAAGGCTCAAAACAGCCCAAAGGCCTTATATAGTATGGTCTTTGGGCTGTTAAGCCTTAAGTCATAACGGCCCTTACTGCAGGGCCCTTCAACATCCTTACTAGGTCCCCTGATCCCTTGAGTAAGCCCCCAAAACCCTGAATTTCAAAACCCTTGCGGGAGCGCTCATAGGAGCAATCTATAAAGCACCGTTACCCCAAGGGTCCCAGTACTCAATGATCATATACTCTCCAAAATCCTAACCTACATAACTACTATCCTAAAACCGAGTACCTAATTATTGGGTCCTTTGGACCCTTGGGGTTACACGAGACCCAGAGCCCTTTCAGCAAGCCCTCGGAGTTCAGGCCATTCGCCCTGGACCATGAGCACCCAAACCCTGAAGCCTATACCTTAAGCCGGCATAACCTACCTTTTTAAGGACTTATATAAGGAACTCATAATAAGGAACCCTAAAAAGGTAGGTTATTCCGGCTTAAGGTAAACCCTAAACCCTAAAGCCTCGTCGGGTTTACGGTCCGTTTCTTGGGGTTGCTGTTTCTTGGGGCTTAGAGTCAGGAGTTCAAGGTTTAGGATTCGGGGTAGATGGTTTGGTGACGCGTGTTGGGTCCGAAGTGAAAAACTGTCGAAAGAAGGGCTTGAAACAGGAGCGCAACACGCCCTGAAACCCCAAGGCTCCCAAGCTCCAAAACCCAATCCCCCCCCCCAAAAAAAAAACAAAACCCCAAACACCAAAACCCCAAAACCCTAACCCCAAAACCCAAAGCCTAGACTCCTCAAATCCAAAGCCATGGGCTCTCCTGGCAGGCCATTCGGAAACTCTGCCAGCGCGGTGATGCGACCCTCGAAGAAGAGCTGCGCTGTGGCTGTTTGGAGTTTCGGTTTTAGAGCTAATGTAGAGGTTTCAAGAAGAAAAACATATATATATATATATATATATATATATGTATATATATATATATATATATATATGTAATAGCATCAATACAAGTTCCCCTGAGCGTAAATCTTGGACCAACGCCAAAACTTGAATGCCACAGCATTCCAAACTGATGTAGCAAATTCAGGACTGGGGTTCAGAGTGTTTGTTTATGGTTGTTTGGGGCGTTTGCAGGTCGAGGGTGTAGGCTTCACGCTGAGTATTATGGCAAAGCCCATGGCCCTAAGCCCTAAATCCTCTGCCCTGAACCCAATCTCCAAGCCGCAATCAAGCAACCCTAGACGACTCTAAATCCTCAAAGGTTGAGATATGCCACGCACGAAGATCTGGAGGCACGGCTCCGTGCTAGAATTGACCTACGGTCCTTTTGGGTTTAGGGTTTGTGGCATGCCACTGGTAGCTCAACATAGATCTCGGAGGCAGGTTGAGGGTTTTGAGGTTTAGTTGTAGGACGTTGCTTTCGAGACTTCGGCATTTAAACTCGTAGGGTTTCGGGATCTGTTTGCTGCGCCGTGCGATAGCAACCCGTTATCATGTTGCGTACCTTCTGTATGACGCCCGTACCGCAACTCTACAAGAACCCTAAACCGCTAAACTCCTAAACGTTAAACCCTGTGTACGAAACCCTAAACCTCTGCAGCCAAAACAGGCAGCCGATAGTAACCAAATACCTTGTCGATTACCCCTGCTAAAACCTACAACCCCAAACTCCAAATGTCAGACCCTAAAATCCTTAAACCCCCAAACAAAGATCCTAAAACCGTAAACCCTAAACCCTAAACCCTCAATCCTGGATAACCATAAAGCTCAAAACTAAACAAGAAAGCCTAGAGCCCCGAAGCCCTCAAGCCCAAAGCCCCAACGCTCCAAAACCCCAAAGCCCCAAAGCCCTAAAACCCAAATAAAGCCCTAAAGCCCAAAAGCCCCAAAGCCCTAAAGCCCAAATAGAGTCCTAAAGCCCAAAAGCCCCAAAGCCCTAAAGCCCAAATAGAGTCCTAAAGCCCAAAAGCCCCAAAGCCCTAAAGCCCAAATAGAGTCCTAAAGCCCAAAAGCCCCAAAGCCCTAAAGCCCAAATAAAGGCCTAAAGCCCTCAAGCCCACAAGTGTAAAGCCTCAGACAAGTGTAAAGCCTCAGAAACCCCAAACTCCAAAGTCTTAAAGCCTTAAAGCCCGGAGCCCTAATATCGGGGCCTTACTAATTCAATCAGGGTTCGGGTTTAGAGAGGTATATTACCCGTTCTAATTATGAATGCCCCGAGCCCTAACTGTTGATGATATAAATCCTGCATTACCCATAATAAGGAATATACCATAATTCCCATAGTCTAGGGTTATTAAGGTCATGCAGGATTTATATCATCAACCGTACTGCTTCCCTTTAAGTAACAGGTCACAGAAAACGTGTCAAAGTATGGTTAATCCGGTTTCCAACTTTATGGGGATTTCTGTAAGCACCTCCCTAAACCCCAAACCCTAAACCCTGAACCCAAAACCCTAAACCCTAAACCCTAAACCCAAAACCGTAAACCCTAAACCCTAAACCTCTTCCCCAGATCCGCCGAACTGTGGTGGAGCTTCTCGGCCTTGTGGCCTCGCGCGGAGGCCCGGCAGCTTCCTGGCGGCAGCGTGCTGTGCTTGAGCTAGGTATCGGTTTAGGGTTTATGGTTTAGGGTTTAGGGTTTAGGGTTTAGGGTTTAGGGTTTAGGGGTTAGGGGTTAGGGGTTAGGGGTTAGGGTTTAGGGGTTAGGGATTAGGCTTTAGGGGTCAGGGTCAAGGGGTTTAGGGTACCTTTAATTTCCTTTATGGTTCACGTAGAGCCCTAATTCTAAATGTCTTCGGACACTGTTGGAATAAACACCTAGAGCCTTGAAGGCTTTCCATGGCAGTTCTTGTACAGGCTTTAGGGTTTTGTGGTGTATCTAAAGGCTCATGGGACTTACAACCCAGAATTTGCCTACTATGTCCCCGGATCCTTTGAGTAGGGGCCCAGGTACTTAGTTAGGTTAGGTTGAGCGGTTTTATGTCGTACCGGGTTTTACGGTTCAGTGCTAGACCCTGAGCCTGAAACCCTAAACCCTAAACCACTGTAATTTCGGAAATTGTTGGGAACCATGTTCGAAAAAAAAAACGGGCCCCAAGACAAGAGGCAAGAGGTACTGGTATTGATGGGGCAGGTTCCTTCTCCACGCATGACCAGTGGCCGAAACCGGTTTTTGGTTCAGGGCTGACTAAGTTCTACCTTCAGCCGGAATAACCTACCTGTTTAAGGACTTATATAAGGAAATCATAGTAAGGAGCCCTAAAAAGGTAGGTTATTCCGGCTTAAGGTAGAGCTTAGGTTGTCGGCTTACGGTTTGGCGCTTCGTGTGACAGTTCCAGGTATCAGGAGGAGGTCCTTGAGACCTTCGAAGCCTAATCTCTCCATGGGTACAGCCGCTCAAGCATCACAGACTGGATTCTTTTTAAGGATTTTAAGTTAAGTTATCATTACAAGGAAACAATCTGTTTTTGCTATAGATCCCTCTTGCGGTAACTGAAATTAAATTCCTTAACAAGAACCCAGCGGAAGCCGAGGTTTCTCGAGCAGACATCTAGACAGGATGGAAAGTGGCTTCCCAATCCATCACATGCAGCGGAGGTTTGCAGTCCTTGTAGTGTCTTTCAGAAGCCGGATATTTTGGGCCGACTTCGGCGCAGCTGCCGAAAGCAGCAGAAGGGAAACAGCAGAAGGGAAACCGCGGTCGGAGCAGCAATCACCCGCAATGAGCTAGACACTGAGAGTGCTTGGATTAGTGGCAAAGAGTGAAGCAACAGTCAGATACAGTAGCAACAGCAAGAACCCAAAGCACCAATCACGCTGCAGTCTGGTAGTATTGCGGAACAGCTGAGGAAGCTCATTTGAAATCGCTGCAGCATGAGGATGAGGACGCTTTCCGGCTAGGCCTTGATCTCTTGCACTCGCATGAGACTTGGCACATGTCTGCCGACCTTTCCTGCACTCTTGAATCGATTTTCACGAAGCTGCATAAGAACTCGATTTCGATGAACTCTGCCACCCGTTCACCAGCCCCCGGAATCCTGGAATTTCGAAACGCGTCCTGTGGTTTGGGCTTTAGAGCTTTTGCCAGGAGCTCGGCTCTGCTGCAGCAAGCGCGCTCAGGAGAATACCCTAGCTGCAAAAAAGTGGGACGCATGTCATTTCACCCAGTTCATCAGTGCTGAAACCCTAAACCCTAAACCTAAACCCTCGACCATGGACCTCAGATCATGAAGGTTGGGGCTTAATGCTTGTGGGATCTAGGGGTCTGTAGGGTTTAGAGTTTAGGACAGTTTTGGATACAACGGAGTATCAGGTGATGTGGTGTCTGGGTATTAGGATTTAGGTTTTGGGTTCGGTGCGGGGGCCAGGGTCTGCTGTTTGCTCTTCCATTACGGTATCTGCTCCCGAGGCCGCAAACGCAATACCCTGACTCAGCCTCAAAGCCACGATCATAAGGCCTTGATCATTTGCCGATGCCTTCTTGAGATAACAACCGAAAGAACAGGAAAGCTGTCAGTTTCTTCATGTCTTGCTGTTTCAACACTAGCGGCGTTGGATTTTCTGCTTTTAATCGTCCACTGCGACAAACAACCTGATGCCTACGTGGAGGTCTTCGGCGAAGTGGGAAGGCTTTCCAACTGTGGCGATGCAGCGGCAGAAATCAAGGTGCATCCTAAATCCCGGTCTTCAGCAACAACTACTTTGCGGTTAGGTTAAGCTTGCTTTGTGTAGCTTCTTGTGAGATGGCGCATGAAGGCCTTGTGCCCACGACCTTGAGCCATTCATCCACACCTCAAACACAGAATTCACTGCTCTTCTACCAGTCTTGGTTGGCCTGACACCGTATCACGCCACGTAGAGCCACGCGCCCAACTGCAACTCCCAGGCCACCAGACCCTCAACCTTAACCCACATGACCCCAAGACCCAAGACCGTACTCTAAGGATTGAAGGCCACTGCATTACAGTAGAGCTGGAGGGTTTTAGGATGCAGGATAACAGATGGGTGGTTGTCAAAAATTATGGTCCCTTTTGGGTCCCTATTATAATACGGCACCTACTATTTAGGGTACACAAAAAGGGACCCCTATTTTGACAACCACCCAGATCCTCTCTGATGCAGGCCGTCTTTGCCTCTCACCTTCCGCAGGAAGAGTGCGCCCCCTCCCAAATCCGCATGAGGGTTTCAGATAGGGTTTAGGGTTTAGGGTTTATCAGAAGGTGTCTTTCCAGCCCGAAAGTGTTGCGGGTCAAAGACGGGGTGCGAGGGCATCGTTTGGTATGCAAAGGAGAACAATCGAATGCAACAGGAAGCAACAGAGTGCCGAATAGAGCAAATGAGTGCATTTGGAACAAAAGCAAAAGGACGAGAACAAAGCTCCCTAGAGCCATCAAAAGCGAACCCTTCTCTAAAGATCGTTAGAGCAGCAGAGTCGCCGAAGGTATGGCCGGTTCCCGAAGCCCAGACCCAAAAGCTTGCAACCGAATGCTAACGAACCGCTAATCTGTGGCAGGCCCTGAACCCCAAAGTTCCGAAGTACCAAACCCGTAGCTTTCCAACTTCAGCCGTTCGGAGCAGAAAGTGGAGGCTGTTTAGGGTGTAGGGTTCAGGGGGCTGGAGCTTTAGAACTCATGACTGTGAGATATCCTGCAGAAACGTGAGCTAAATCTACAATACTCAGCAGTCGGCGATGCCCTAATTGCAAAGATATTCAGGTTTTATCGGGCTTTTGCTTGATGCAGTAGCAGCCTCAGTGCTGACTCCATTTTGACTGGCCTTGTGTCATGGTCGTAATTCCTTCTAAACTACATGGGAGTTTCCGAAAACAGGGGACCCTAATCTAGTACCCTAAATAGTAGGATCCTTATTATAAGGACCCCAGAATAAGGTACCCCCAATTTTCGGAAACTCCCACATGGAACCTTTGAACCCTTGGGATTACAGCTGAGATTCAAAGCTGATGGGGCGGGGATGGTTAGTTGCCTGCCTGCATGCGTTTTGCTGGATTCGGCCGTTCTTGGCTTCAGCTGTCGTACTAGTTTCGCATCGCCCTTGCAGTAATTGGCTGTAAGGGGCACCGAGCTATGCCGATTCCGGACTTCCCGACACTCCCTCCTCTCCCTCCTGTCGTTCGCCACCCGTGGGAGGCACGGGCACAGCCACGAGCTTCAGTTCTATGTTCAGGGAGCTAATGTGTGCCTGTAAGAATCCATGCCCTTGTTCGCTGGACTCCTTATCAGGCATAAACAGCGGGAATAAGATAAGGTGTTCGGAGTAGTCTTAGGAGTACTTAGAAATAATTTTTACTTTTTGGTTATTATAATCCCTAATAGACAGCTGAAATCATACTTTTTGCTAGGGTTCTAAGTTCAGTAAAACTGAGGGGAGGAGGAGCGAAGCCGTTTTGAAGGATTTTCAATTTAGTCCTTGGCCAAGCGTTTTTGCACGGCGGTGGTGACAGGCATATATAGGTAGTGGTATAGGTGGTAGGCAAAGTAGTCCCTCGGTACTCGCGTCCGTTCTGCTGGTGGCGGTTGTGCTGGGGGCAGAAGCCCAAAAAAAAGTTGGTAGGGTGCCTGGACCCTCTTCGGAAAGGACTCGAATGCCATTGGGCCACCAGAGTGCCTAAAATTGATGCCCCAACCATAACCCTAAACTCCGGACACCCCAAGTCCTCTACCTCTAAACCCTAAACCCTAAACCCCTAAACCCCTAAACCCCTAAACCCCTAAACCCCTAAACCCTAAACCCCTAAACCCTCAACCCTACCTGGCCGCGAGGCCACGTGGTGGGTCGACGTGCTGCAGAAGCTGGGCCAGGTCAGGGATGCTAAAGCCTGCAACATAGCAGTATACTTGGAGGATCATGGGACTTAGTAACTAGGGTTGCTATTAAGGTAACTATACTTATAACTACTTATAGCCCAATTAAGGTACTTATAACCATACTCGCCGATGACGTTTGCGGAGGCCCCCCCTGAGATACGGAAGGGGAAGAGTGCGGTGACCGCGGTAACCACCGTGGGTCGACCCCTACCTACCTACCTACCTACCTTATAACCATACTTACTAAATCCCATGATCCTCCTAGTAGACATACCAGGAGACCCCAAGGACCCTTTGATAGAGCCCTTATGGCCCTTAATGATGGGAATTCGGGATATATTAAATTAGAGAGTAGCTGGGGGGATTAGGTAGTTACTAATTTACGAATAGTTATTCATTCTTTAACAACCAATTACATATTACTATAAAATCATGCGTGGAACCATAGAATGATAGAGCCCGATCATGGAAGCGGGCTTCAGGCTTCGTAGGGCTTAGTGTTCAGGGTCGGGTCCTCCAGCGTGTACGATCTGCAGAGAGACTTTTAAAGGCCAAGCCCGAAGCCCTCCCAGCCCAACGCAGAACCTGAAGCCCTAAGCCACAAGCCTAAACCCCAAACCCTAAACCCACTCAAGGAGCTTTAAAAAAAACCTAAACCCACCCGAACCCTAAACCCCGGCACCCTAAACGTTAAACAACCTCGGCCAATAAGCTCCCAGACAGAGTGGAGGAGTTTCCGACGGCAGATGCCTCCGACCAGGACTGGAAGCACTTCGTGGTGAGGCCGGGGTAGGGATTTAGGGTTTAGGGGTTTAGGGAGATGAGAGATCAAGGTTTATGGGTTTGGGGTGGGAGAATAGGTTTGAGAATCGACAGTGCAGTGTTTTGAGGGTTACTGTTGTCTGTGAACCGTAAACCCTAGGGTCTAGGGCCTAGTCTAGGGTTTACGTAGGGGTTCGAGGTTCAGTCTGCAGGGTTTGGGGGGGCGGGAGGGAATGCCGCTTAAGGGGTTTCAGTGTTGGCGGAATGCACCTTTCGGGTTTTCAGGATTTTTGGGTTCAGGGGGTTTCGGATCGACTCTGGGTTTAGGTTTTTGGAGTTTGGGATTCAGGATTGAGGGTTTAGCATTTGGTACGGCCCCCACTCAGTAATAGTTGAATAATATGCATAATACAGATATCTTAGGACCTTAGTAGTAGCCCGATTATAGACTATTACTGTATGGGGGCAGTACCTAAGTTTAGGATTTAGCATCTTCAATTTGAGGGTGCAGGGCCTTCGTGGCCGCCGGTCGGATTTACGGTGCCTTTGGCGCCCACTTTTCGCTCATCGGCTGTCTTGGGCAAAATCGCCTGAGCCCGAAACCCTAAAAGTTGAAAGCGAATCCAGCTAGTTACGAGCCGACTTGGGCAGGCGCACAAAAATGGCCGTCATCCTCACTTAATAATAAGAACCCTAATGAAGTTTAGAAACAACCTTTAAGCCCCGCGCCGAAGCTCCATTCCTCAGCGCACGTATCTCCCGAGCCCGGGTTTAGGGTTTAGGGCTCTGAGCATGGGATCTCTAAGCGCTCAGCCGTAAACCACTGACCCCGAACTCCTAAACCCTAAACCCGACACCCCTGTCAGCTTGGGAGGATCGAGCAGAAAATAAAACCCGACACCCCTGAACCCGAACTCCTAAACCCTAAACACTAAACCCCGAACCCTCACGTAGCTTAACGGGAAGGTCCAGCACTGCCCCCGCTGTGGTGCTCGCCCTAGGCTCGGTGGGTGCGTTTCGAGGGGTCGAAGCACTTTAGGGTCCCTTTTTGGGTCCTTATTATAATACGGCACCTAATATTTATGGTACCCCAAAGGGACCCTAATTTTGACAACCACCCATATAAACTCCTTTCCCGCGACTTTGTCGCAGGCATCCCTGATCTTGCGATTGCGAATAAAGCCATGATTCTCTCTGTAACCTTTGACTTGCAGAAACAAGGCCGATATGGATTCTCCTATTCTGGCCTATGCTTTATGCGCCCGACGCAGATCAGTGCATCGACAGGAATCCACACAGGGGGAAACAGAGGCGTGTTCGCCTAATTCTCCTACTGGAAGGCAATCCAAGCTGATCAGGCTCCCTCTTGCTCCCCAGGCCTCGAAAACTTGAAGGTGCACGCGTGAGGCCCTGGAAAGACCTGACCCCTCAACCTCCAACATGAAACTCTATAGTATTCTATAGACCCCTAAATCCCTCACCCTAGGCCGAAACCTAAACCTTTAGCCCGAGTCGTTCAGGCTTCCTTCTGACTCTGGTTGTCCTTTGCAGCTCTTGCTGCTGCCATCGGCAGCACAGCCGTCGCCGCGCGCCGTCCTGCTGCCCGAGCTTTTGCTTGGGAGCCATGTCCATTGCCGGAGGCTCAGATTTGTCACGAGCCGCATGGAATTCCAGCCGCCCTGCCAGAAGACGGCCCATGTCCGCAACCCTACTTGGAGGATCATGGGACTTAGTAACTAGGGTTACTATGAAGGTAACTATACCTATTAACTACTTATAACCCCAATTAAGGTACTTATACTTACTAAGTCCCATGATCCGCCAAGTAGTCCCTGTAAGGTTGGGGCCTACAGTACAGCCCAGTGGTCCTCTGTCAGCCTCCCCTGGGTTTGGGTGGCGATTTAGGGGGGGCACGGTTTAAGCGTTCAGGGATTAGGTCTCGGGGCTTAAGGATTTAGAGGTTGAGCATTTGAGGCGTTTCAGGTTCGAGGGTGATAGCTGATCGTGTGCGCCCAATGCCTGCGCTGCGGCCCCTCTTGGGAATATGGGAGTTTCAGAAAATTAGGATACCTAATTTTGGGGTCCTTATAAAAAGGATCCTAATATTTAAGGTACTATGTTAGGGTATATAGCTGGTGCACCTCCCGTTACCAGCAACCCCAAACCTCTTGGGTAAACCTCTTGGGTTTAGGGTTTTGGGCTCTGCCCAGGCTCTTGAAGGCTGAGATGTGAGGGCTGGTTTTGGAGTTTTGGGGCTCCGCTTGACAGTGCTAAGAGTTCACGGGATTGGCTGCTTGTCCCCTTCGGATGATACACAGTTCCACTCGTACACAGACGATCAGAAGGATGATGCTTCTGCTGCTGCGGAAGATGCTGATGATTCAGGCATGCGGCTGCTGACGATGATAATGATGCTGAGGCTGTTTTTGAGGCCGCCGTTGAGGGTTGCTGCTGGATGAAAAAAGGGTATTGTTGCTGTTGCTGCCGCTCGAGATGTTAAACCCCCTACTATTTTGGGGGTTCCTTGTTATGATTGTACTATAATGTACCACCCAAAACCCCATTCTAATTATTGAGGTCCGTATATTACACCCTACCCTAAATCCGAAACTCCGATCGATCGTGGTTTCTGATTCTCTGGAATCCTGGAAAGTCCGAAGGTTTTGGTTCTGGCCGGGGCCTTCGTCTACTGGGAGACGAGCTCCAAGGCAACATATTTCGGTTTCCTCCTCCAGTGTTTGCTCTAGGTTTAGGAGATGTCAGTTAAAAAATTCAGTTCGTTTTTTGGGTTTTCAGTTGTTTGGTGCTTTGCTTTAATCGTGAGTTCGAGTTCACGGCTTTAGAACTGCAGGGTTTTAGGGTATGAGGATCTGGTGTCCAGGGCGTTAAGTGTTTTTGGGGTTGAGGGGTTTAGAGTTGCAGGTTTCAGGATTCAGGATTTCAGGATTTTGGGGTTGAAAGCTGAAAGCTCAAGAGGGCTTGGTTGCTGCCAGGAGGGGGTCTGCCATTCGCGTTTTCGGTTCGGGGTTGGCCTTGAGTTTGAAGCTGTCTATAAACTTCGAATTTTCGACTTAGAGTTGGTCTTGGTTTTTCTTGATGTTGGACTGGGTTGGGCAAACCTCATCTAGGGTCTGCGACCAAACCGAGAGCTCGCAAACGTAAGCAAAACCTAGAAGAACTGAACTTTCAATCCCTGAGCCTTGGCACTTGCTGCCACGAACCTCTAAGCCCCAAATCAGCGCTTAACCGCAAAGCCCAAACTCCAAACGAAAAAGCATCCCTAAGCCCTAATTAAACCCCAAACATCCCTAAACCCTAAACAGACCCTAAACATCCCTCAACCCTAAACCCAAAAACCTTAAAAGCCGATCCTAGAGGCCCGAGCCCCCAAGATCCGCAGGCCTTGGACACAGCACAGCATCAGCTGACCCGTGCGTCGAACGATGTGTCCACCGCGAAGGATCAGGGAACCCTGATGAAGGCCGTAATGTGTGAGCCTGAATGAATGGTGCAATGAATGCTCGGGGTTCGCCATAGTATATAAACTTTAAAGCAAATCCTAGCCCCATAGTTTGGCCGCCCAGGCTGTTAACCAGACTTTTCGCATCAGGTGTTCGGTTTGAGGGTCGGTGACCCTGAACCCTAAACCCAACCGCAACCCAACCCTACAGCCCTGAACCCAAAAAACTACAACCCGAAACCCGAACCCTCAACCCTCTACGGCCTGGGGCCTAGGGCTTCGGAGGCTGCGCAGATCCGAGATTTTTGGTCTCGAACTTTGGGATTTTGGGAGATTTTGGGGCTCAGGGTTCAGGGTTTCGGGGGACTAACAGCTACTATCTATCCAAGGAGGGACCCTTAAGAAGGACCCCTAGGTATATACCCTTAATATAGCTATGTTATACCCATTATATAGCCCATTATAGGGTAGGGGTCCCCATTAAGGGTCCCTCCTTTTCCCCTTAGATTTATTTGGGACGGTGAGTTTCGATCGTGGAGCCACAAGGAGGCAGAAGCGGTTCTGGGGGTTTCTAGGTATATAGTATTGTTAGGGAGACCCCTAAAAGGGTACCCCTTCTGAACGCTACTTCTGGCTCTCTTAAAAGGGGGCCTTATTGAGCGGGTCTACATCCCAAGGGCCCCCCTAATCCTAACTCCCAGCTTCGGGTTTCGGGGGGTGTCGGCAACATTGCGGAACCTGAGCGAAGGCATGAGCCAGAATTACAGTAAGCATGAACATTAGTAGTACTAGTGAAAATAACAATAATAGTAATAATAACAATAATAATCACAATAATCATAGTCATAATAATCATAATAATAATAATCATAATAATTCGTAATATTACTAATAGGTTACAATAGTGCTTGTAAGAATTATAAGTTCATCCCCTGAGAGTCCAAGCCCTCCTTTTTTGATCAGAGAGCTTTCTGAAACTAGGGGTTCCTGTTTTACTTTGTAGTAGGGGGGCCTACTGTGCAGGGTTCCACATCGGCGTCCATGTTCAGCTTCCAGAGGAAACCCTAAACCCAAAGTGGAAAAGGAGGGACCCTTTCTGGGGACCCCTACCCTATAATGGGCTATATAATGGGTATATAATGGCTATATTAAGGGTATATACCTAGGGGTCCTTATTAAGGGTCCCTCCTTTTCCTTTTTGATAAACCCAAAGCCCCAAAACCTGACCCGGAGAATCATTTCGGGGCAACAGGGCCTCAACCTTACACCCTAAGCTCCTAAACTTGATCCAAAAGCTTAAAATCCCTACGCCCCAGTCCCTCCCACACCCTAAACCCCAATCCCTCTTGAGACCATAATAAATGCCTGTAAACTGTAAACCCTTAGCTCAGAAAATCCATAGAGCCCTCGAGCATTCGCAGGCCACCGGGCTGGCGATGATGGAAAACTTGCAGGGCATTTCTTCGACTTGTCCTCCCGGCACCAAGACAGTCGCCCTCCGACCGCAGCCGGGGGCGAAAGGTCTGAGGGTTTCTACTTGGAGGATCATGGGACTTAGTAACTAGGGGTACTATTAAGGTAACTATACTTATAACTACTTATAACCCCAATTAAGGTACTTATAACCATACTTACTAAGTCCCATGATCCTCCAAGTAGGGGTCAGGGAGTTACGGGCTCTGGGGGATGGCGGAGTTTGTGGTGTAGGATTTCGGGGTTTAGCGGCTCAGGGTTAGGGTTTAGGGTATAGGGACGACGGGGTACTTAGGGACTAGGATTTAAGGGTACGGATTGTGGGCTCGAAACACTGTTGTGGGGTTCGGTCGTTCTTGCGTTTGGGTTTCCAGGCTCTTCACCATGAATCAAGCCGCTGTTCACGGAAACAGCAAATGTCAGGGGCTGCTTTCAGCTGGCCTGGCTTCGGGTTTGTCTAGGGTTTTTAAGATCGAAGGCGTCGGTGGACATTTACCTGTCAGTGTTCAGGGAAGACTTGAAGGCTTGCACTGCTGAGAGATTCAGTCTGGGGGGTTTCAGTCGGAGCACACGGTGTTTTCAGCTGGAATCCTGGAGGGGGTTTCGGAAGGAGCGTCAGTGTGCTGTGATGACGCTGAGGTCGAGTCCTACATCAGCCGCATCGAGAAGCAGGTCAGGCTGAAGAGCCAGCGGGATCTGAGTTCCGAACCATGCCTAGTGGAGAGAGCCCAGATGGCGGGGTTCAGGTTTCAGGACAAACTTGTGGCCTGCAGAGTTTCGAACTGCGCTTTGCGTGCTGTTCGTTGCCGTCTGTCTCCGACAGATCAGCAGCTTCAACAGCGCAACCGATGCCTTCCAGAAAGTGGTGGACCCGCTCCCAGAGAAGGTCGGCAATGTGAAGGCAGGGACTGCAAACTAGGGTTTCAGGGTTTAGGGTTTAGGGTCGACTCCCTGAAAGCTCACTACACCAGGAGTCCTGGAGTTTTGGGTTGGGTGTTGAGGGGCGCAAGGTAAGCATCTTACGCTTTAAGAATCCCGGGTATAGTTCTGACAGAGCTTGGGAGCTGGAGGGGTTTGGGAAAGCATCGCGCAGACTGTTGGCGTGCTGTGGGTTTGTGAACTCACTCCTCTGAAGCCCTATGCTGGCAACCTTTGGCAGGCTAGGATACTTGGGGTTCTCTGGATGAGGGTCCCGGGTTTGAATCCCCAACACACGGCATCAGTCTCATAGTAAGGAGCCGTGCAAGGGATCCTAGTGTAGCTAACCACCCAAACGGCCATGCGGGTCTGCTTTGTCTCTTTGTAATCCGGGCATTTCAGCAGGTAGACTAATGGTAGACTTCTAGGCCAGCAGTGTTCACAAAAACTCGAGAAACGGTGATCTAGCCTTTGTTCAATCTTCCCCACTTTTGCCCTCGCAACACTACGCACCCCGCTGGGCGGGACCTATTTAGGCGAACCGTCTATCTATCTATTTGTCTGTTTGTGTGTCTGTTTATCTCTGTATCTAAGTCTATGTATCTGTGTATCTATCTGCCTATATACACGCATTCGTATAGCTTGTAGCCCTGCCTGCCAAGTCCTAGGTGCCCTCCATTTTGCAAGTGGAGCCCCGAAACCCACGGCTGAGGACCGTGGGAGCGCGATCGCCAAGATCGCCATGGCCGCACTCCTGGGACCTCTGGCGCTCGTCCTCCTGAGCTGCACAGTGGCCGCTCGGTGAAGGAATTTGGCCTGCGTGTTCAGGCACTAAGCATAACGGCCCTTGATGCCGCACATTCTGCTCGCACGCACGGATTGATAGCTAGCTAGGTAGGTGTATGTATGTATGTATGTATGTATATATATATGTATATAGATAGAGGCACACTGCTTCTACTTCTGCTCCTCCTCGTCTTCTCCTCCTCCTCCTCGGACGACGATGACGACTTCTACCTACTACTACCACTACTACTACTACTACTACTACTACTACTACTACTACTACTACTACTACTACTACTACTACTACTACTACTACTACTACTACTACTACTACTACTACTACTACTACTACTACTACTACTACTACTACTACTACTACTACTACTACTACTACTACTACTACTACTACTACTACTACGACTACTACTACGACTACGACTACGACTACGACTACGACTACGACTACGACTACGACTACGACTACGACTACGACGACTACTACTACTACTACTACTACTACTACGACTACTACTACTACTACTACTACGACTACGACTACGACTAGGACTACGACTACGACTACGACTACGACTACGACGACGACGACGACGACGACGACTACTACTACTACTACTGCCACTCCTGCTGCTACTACTGTACTGCTACTTACTACTGTTGCTATTGCTCCTGGTGCTGATGCTGCAAAAGCTTGCCCAGGAATGTCGATTGGGAGTTCGGTGGCACATAGACGAGAAGCGTTTGGGGTTAAGGCTAGGGTGGTTTTAGCGCTTCACGGTACTAGGGCCTAGGATCTGATGTTTACCGGAAGAACAGCCAGCCAAAGGGTTCTAGAAGCCTCGAGCATTGGCACCTCTTGTTCGCAGGCATCTTACGATGATGCCGTAATAAAACGGTCGGAATAATTCTTAATAGTATTCCCTGGTAGTCCCAAACAGAGGTAAAGTCGAAACTACAGCAACACGCAATTCTTATTGGGGGCCCTGTGTTTTCCCATCTGAACCCTCAAACAGCCAACCCTTGCCCACTCTGAATGCCTCAGTTCCTACTCAGGCAAGCGAAGCAAAAGCCGTCCTCTTCTAACAATGGAACAACGTAGCCCCCGTTGCGGAGCATGTTCAGTTTTCGCAGGGGTACTTAGAAATAATTGTTAATTTTTGGTTGCTATAATTCCCTAAGAAACAGCGAAAAATACAATTTTTGCTAGGGTTCTAAGTTCGGTATAGTTTTCTCCGTCTGCGCAAACACGCCGGATCAAGCCGAAACTCCGGGAGTTGGATCCGGCAAGCACGGCTGAAACCCTAAACCCCTAAACCCCTAAACCCCTAAACCCCTAAACCCCCCTAACCCCTAAACCCTAAACCCCTAAACCCCTAAACCCCTAAACCCCTAAACCCCTAAACCCCCTAACCCCTAAACCCCTAAACCCTAAACCCCTAAGCGAGCTTCCGAGTACCCGCCCGCGGATCAAAGAGGCTAGTGCAAAAAAACCCTAAGCCGTTGATATCAACAAGCTTGGGCCCCGGCAGGTCCTCATCGCTGCTCTGGCCTCAGCTCCAAGGGAGGAGTGCTCTTCTACCTGTAAGGGATCTTTTAAGGCTTTCAGGGTTCCTTTAAGGGTTCCTTTAAGGGCTCCTTTACGGGATCCTTTAAGGGTTCCTTAAAGGTTACTATCGGGGTTTATAGCGTTTTGGGGTTTGGGGAGTTTAGTCCATTCGGGCTTTGAGGTCCTAGCACATCGGGCGTGAAGCGTACCAGTGGGGATCGCAATCGTGTCGTGGATGTGGAGTCGCAGTTTGCGGTTGAGGCCTGGGATTTTAATGGACTCTAAAAGCCCTAAGCCGCAAGCCCGAGCACCCCGACCCTAACACCCTAATCCAAATCCTAAAGCCTGCAAGACCTGACACTATCCGAAACTGTATTTGCAGCCCTATCTGGCCCTTAGTCCCAACTTCCGTTCATGCTCGGGTGTTCAAGACTGAGTTTATTCTCACAGTTTTCGGATATCTTGCAACTAGGGTTTGGGTTTCAGTGTAGGGCTTGACTTTCTCTGAGCCTGAGGGGAGTTGCTAAGGTTATGCGTCGGCTTATTGAAACTCTAAATTAGCTTATCATATTACTATCACGTACTTACTATGTAGTTATCCTAGTCCCTCTAAATCCAAATCCTGAACCCTTGTATTCTTAGGGTTTAGGGTCAGGGAAGGCTGAGGCCGAATCCAAGCCCCTGGTTCCTCTCAAACTCTGCGCCGTGAACTCCTAAACCCGACACCTGGCTTCCAAACGGAGTAGAGTTTTAGGGTTTAGGGTTTAGGGTTTAGGTTTTAGGGTTTAGGGTTTAGGGTTTAGGGTTCAGAGATTTTTAATCTTCGATTTGCAGGCGTTTTCCATGGCGTTTCCATGTCCTGAATCCCCAGGTCATGACGTCCTGTTCAGGCCCGGCGTCGGGCCTTGGGTTAAGAGTAAGTTTAAGATCTTCTAGGGTTTAGGGTTTAGGGTTTTAGGGTTTTAGGGGTTAGGGTTTTAGGGTTTTAGGTTTTAGGGTTTTAGGGTTTAGGGTTTAGGGTTTTAGGGTTTTAGGGTTTAGGGGTTAGGGTTTAGGGTTTAGGGTTTAGGGTTTTAGGGTTTAGGGTTTAGGGTTTTAGGGTTTTAGGGTTTAGGGTTTAGGGTTTTGGGGGGCGTAGAGTTTAGGGTTTCGGGGAGTGTCATGGGTGTTGCAAATTCTGTTGTTGCCTTGTTATCTGTTGAGTTTGGTGTCATAGTTTTGAGTATGTCCGCTCATGCGGTTGAACTAGGAGCCCGGCAGTTGGAACATGGTTGCTCTGGTGCCCTTGAGGAGAAGTAAAGGAAATCCAATCAGTAATTTGTACTTACCCCAACCTCATGTTTAATCTTATTGGGGTTCGGTAAGGTCTGACTTGAACGTTGGTATGGGGGGATCGGAATAGAATTTGGGATGTCGGATGGGAGGCTATGCAAGAGTGCACAACCCAAGCGTCGAAATGTCATTGGGGCTTTGTCGCGTGGCGCCAAAATCTGAGCCCGAAGGTTTGGCCCCAAACCCGAAGCCTTGGGCCCTGCGAAGACCCCAAAAACCCCAAAGGCTTGAACTCTACAGCCACAAAGGCCTGCTTCACAATAGCAAGGACTCGGGCTGTAATTGTGATTGCAAAAGACCCACGGAACCTAAACCCTAATGCTGCGAACGGTTTGGGCTTTGTGGGTTTAGGGTGTAGGGGGTTCAGGCAGGTGCGCCGGCTGCTGTCTGCGCCGCTCGGCAGCATTGTTGAGAAGTGCTTCCAGCCCCATGCTCCCCCGCGCAGCCATGAGCCTTAAAATCACACTCGGGTGGTCCCTTTTTGGCTCATTATTATAATACGGCACCTAGTATTTAGGGTACCCAAACAGGGACCATAATTTTGACAACCGCCCACTCACAAAAACCCGAAACTCTAAACCCTCAAGCGTATGTTGTCCCGTAGCCTTATTATATACTGTCACTGGAAGGGGGGCAGTTGCCAAGAAAGCCATGTGCACTGAACCAGACTGGTGCAAAGTCACGCAGAACAGTATTGGGCACAGCTCTAGGACCAAAGCAAAAGGCACAACCCGGTCACCACCCACTCAAAACTCCGGACCTGAGCATTTCTCAATTTCCACAAAGCTCAAACCCTAAACCCTAGAATACCGAAACCCCAAACACAAACCGCAAGAAGCGGCGGCCCGAGGTAGCCTCGCGCCGGTTCTCTTGGCACCCACGGTGCTCGTCATCACCTTGGCAGCATCGACCCAGCGGCTGGACTTTATTTTTCGGCTACTTAAAGGATCATGGGACTTAGTAACCAGGGTTCCTTAAAGGGCTGCTTTAAAGGGATCTACAGGGCTTCTATCATAGGGTCTACTTAAAGGATCATGGGACTTAGTAACTAGGGTTATAATTAGGGTAACTATACTTATAACCCCAATTAAGGTACTTATAACCTTACTTACTAAGTCCCATGATCCTCCAAGTAGCCTTGGATATTGAGTTCGTTCTCTCATTTTCATCGTTACCGCTCTGCGTGGTCTTGGTTTTCGGTTGACACGAACATCCTCGCTGAATTTAGGCATGCATTCGCATAAACTTCCCAGTGTTGCTCTGACTGGCGGATGCGGCTGTAGGTTTGCGAAGGATGGAGGCTCAGAGCCGTCCTTTGCTAAATGCTTTCCAGGCATCGATGTGGTTGCATAATTTTTTCCCAGAGGAGTTTTCTGTTCTGATGGGTGTACGATTCCTTTGTTGGGTCTGTGCGTGGGTTGTTCTGCGCATCTTCGTCTCGAGTTTAGACATGTCTAAAGGGTGCGCAAGGTTTTCTGGCAGGGCAACCGTGTAGCGTGTCTTTAAGCTTAGTAGCTGAGTGGATACACTTTACACTTTTTCGGATAATATTACCCACCATAAAACTGAAAGTGCACACTTCTTGGGGCTAAAGAAGTCAGCAACTAAGTAAGTGATTGAAGTGCATTGGTATCAGAATCAGGAGTCTTCTGGGTCTACTTGGTGTGCTCGCTCGATCTTTGCTGCTACTGCTCTGCGACTGCTCGGAAGTTAAACTCACTTCCTCCTGGCAATACCTTATCCTAAGACATCCTAAAACCTAAACCCTAAACCCTAAACCCCTTACCCAAAACTCACATTGCAAGTCGGCGAGCGGAGGTTGGAAATGGGCATCATCGCGAGCAGCTTCTGCGGGAACCTCGGGGTGTGGGATGCCTGCGGCAGGGCATCTTCAAGTACCTGTAGTCTCCATTGTAGCTCCTTTTTTGGTTTAACCAGTTTTATATTAAGGATCCTTAAAGGTAACGCCAAAAAGGAACTACAATGGAGACTATAGGTAGCTTTATCTGAGGGGCCGCATGGAATTTCGCGGGACTACACAGGCTCTGCTTCTTCGAGGTTGTTTCGTCGCTGATGTGGCAGATTCTGCTCTAATTCCGGTGTTTTTCTATTATGTTTGGGGATTGGGGCTGAGGCTTGCAGGTACTCCACCGTCCTAACCTTACAGGGCTTTCGCTAGGAGTTCTTGTGCGAAGGCGGTGAGCTCCAACCCTAACATAGAGGCCTAAATGATTCCCAACACTGCTTTTGGTTTCCTGAACATCAATATGGTATCGTATAACGAGAGTATAACGCAAAATCCTATTCTAATGGTTCAGGCCCCTATACTATGCACTGGCAGCCTGAAGGGGAGTAGGCTCGAGTTTGTTTCGTGGCTGTAGGGGCCTCATTAGATAGACGCGGGTTTTGCGGGTCTTTCATGACATGCGTTTTTTTAACAACATGGGGTGCAATTCTGATTGCCAGTGTTTCTTAGGGATTTCAGCCCCTGCACCCTAAACCCCGACTGCCCCAAACCAGCCAAAGTCCACGAGGTGAAGACGTGGACACCAACGCGTTGACCTGCGTCGGAAGGATCGCAGGAGTGAAGTCCGAGGAATACAAGCTCAGTGAGTATTACATCAAGGGCCTCTTGGCCGCAAGTTGCAAGGATGACGACGGCAGGATGCCTGTGAGTCATGATAATGCACATGACCATGTTGAGGGAGTTTGTGAGTCCATGATCTTTGGAGTTGGGTTGTGGCGGTGAGAAGCTGATTATGGTGCGGGTTCAATCTGGCTGCCGCAGGGCTGAGCGTGTTTAGGCTGGCTACGGGAGATTTGTTATCTCGCAGCTTCCCGTCTCAAGGTGAAGGCACCAATGTTTTGTTGGAAGACTTGGACAACGCATCCGTTCTCTTGACTAGCGCGAACAAGACGATCACGTCTTACGGCGCACAGGCGGAGCTGGCTTTGTTTGGGATTTGGGGTTGAGTTTTCGGGAGCCCCTCCCAGTTGCACCCACGCTCTGTGGAACTCTGCAATCCTCCTGGGGTCGTTCCTTTGTGGAGAGAGCTGATTAGCTGAGGGAATGATCTTGCCGTAGTTCAGCTTGAATGCTCAGCAGGCTCTACATTTCTACATGATGCTTAGGAATAGTTGGCTGGCCTCATGATCCGTGCGTGATGTTGCAGACGGCCCATGCATTGCTTTGGCTGCTGCACTCGCAGACATACATGCTCGTCTCACACCGAGTTCCCCTGAACGAATCTACAAGTCACCTGCATACTCATCCCTCGCCACTTGTGGCTAAACCCTATAGACCTTACGAGACGGAGAACCCCTTTAAAGAGCTGCCAAAAAGTATCTAAGCTACAACACGAAACCCTTTATGCAACCTAAGAACCCATGGCTGACACCGTAAGCCCCAACATCCTAGACTCCAGGAAGTTAGGGCTTGCGGCGCCTGGACCCCAAACCAAGCCATCCTTGACCTCCGATCCTCGACCCTAGAAACCCAAAGGCCTAAACCCGATACACCCTTAACCCTAAACTTACCTTTGGTTAGTAGGGAATGGAAGAATGGTAGTAGCAGTAGTTATACTTGTACCCCATTCCTCCATTCCCTACTAACCAAAGGTAAGTTTTGGGGCTCATATCTCGAATTTTAGAATCCTATAAGGTAATCTTGAAACCTATCTTTCCAATTTTTACTTACCAATGGTAAGTAAAGACCCCTAGAGAACCTTAAAGTCGCCTGAGCCCAAATGTCCCCTACACCCTAAAGCCCCCCCTATATAAAGATCCCTAACCCCCTAGACCCTAAAGTCCCCCCTATATAAAGATCCCTAACTCCCTACACCCTAAAGCCCCCTCTATATACAAAGATCCCTAACCCCCTAACCCTAAAGCCCCCTCTATAAAGATCCCTAACCCCCTAGACCCTAAAGTCCCCTATCTTCCGATCCCGAAAGCCCTAAACCCTAGAGTCCCCTCATCTTTAAGTCTCCTCCATGGGAGTTTCCGAAAATAGGGGAGCCTAATATAGTACCCGAAATGGTAGGGCCCTTGTTATAAGGACCCCAAAATAAGGTACCCCTAGTTTTCGGAAACTCCCACATAAGATCCCTGACACCCTTTAAGGCTCTCTTCTCCGGCAGGTGGAATCCCTTTGCTCCTGGCGAGGGCTACCCGAGTTGGAGGAGCTGTTCGGGTTCGACGAAGTATGTGGGGTTAGGGTTTAGGGTTTAGGGCCTTAGGGATCTTGATATAGGGGTCTTTAGGGTTTAGCTGGTTAGGGATCTTTATATAGGGGACTTTAGGGTGGTTTCCGGCGCTTTTTTTGGGCCAAAGCCGTGTAGGAACAAGATGGGAAGTCAGCCGGTTCCGTCAGATGAAGGGATCCTAAACCCTGAACCCCTAAGCCCTAGACCCTAAGGCCCCAAATCCTAAACCGTAAACCCCTAAGCCCTAAACCCTAAACCCTTAGTCCTCCACCCTAAACCCTAAACCCTTCGCGCTTGGGGGGGCCGGTGGTTCTGCAGCTTTTGCTGTGGTGCGGTGCGCATTTTCCATGGAAGCTGCATGCTTTCCACGGTCCCCGCACCGGGCACATTCTTACCTTTGGTTAGTAGGGAATGGAGGAATGGGGTACAGTTCTAGCTACTATTACTACCATTCTAAGATAGGGGCCTTAATAATTGGAATAGGGTTTTGGGGCCCATTGTACTATAATACGGAACCCTAGGCTTACTTTTGGTTTGTAGGGAATGGAAGAATGATATATACTAATAGTAGCTATAATAGTGCCCCATTCCTCCATTCCCTACTAACCAAAGGTAGGCATTCGGCGGGCACGCCTAGTTCACATTGTAAGTTTACAATTTGTTGGCGCTTCCGGACTTGACTTTTGGTGCTCAGAGCATTTGGGAGTTTCCAAAACCTAGGGTTACCTTATTTTGGGGTCCTTAAAATAGGGATCCTACTATTCAGGGTACTATATTGGGGTCCCCTATATTCGGAAACTCCCATTTCAAGCACCAAAGCATTCCAGAGCCCTGGGCCTAAAGTTGCTAAAGCTCTTCAGCGCGCCTCAGGGTTTTCGGGTTTTGGGTTTCAGGTCAGGTGTAAAGCCCAAGAAGTAGCAGCAGCCGTTTTTGATGCTGCTTTTCTGAAGGGCACCCGGCTTAGCAGAGCAGCTGTTCGAAGCTTGAACATATAGCATCATAGCGACTCGAAAACGGAACCCTAAACCCTAACCCCCCTAAACCCTAAACCCATACCATAACTTCAATTCAGAACGGCAACCCAACTCGCAAGCCGAGATCTAGACCCTAACCCAATGATTCAGAACAGTCGCTCAGCCCCCGAAGCCCCATAGCCACAAACCCGTGATGGGATAACTAGCGATAATACACCCCTAGACTTATACCACAAGGCTTATGGTCGTGACTTCTACTGTAATATTCCCGCAGACCTTCTTCCATTTATTGGGACCCCGAACCACCCAGGCCCTAGAACCCACATGAGGATTTACATAGAACCATTATCATGTATTGAAGCACGCTTATGAACGCCTCTTATAAACCCTACATCCTAAAACCCTAAACCCTTAAACCCTAAACCCTACCTATAGCCTCCATTGTAGTTCCTTTTTTTGGTTATCATTATTTTTATGGTTAGGACCCTATAATACAGATTTTGGTTAACCAAAAAAGGAACTACAATGGAGACTATAGGTAAACCCTCAGCTTGTCGCTTCCCAGCCCGAACTGCCAAGTTTTCCCTCGGCCCTTCGACAGAGGATGCTGCGGCCAAGGCGAACCACAGCTTGGAGATCGGCCCTTTGTTTTTGTTGGGGGGAGGGGGGGGGGGGCTAAACCCTAAAGCCGAAACCCTAAACCGTTAAACCCAAACCTTAACCCCAAACCCTAAACCCTAATCCCTGAAGCCTAAAAGCCTACACACAAAACCCTCTTGGGTGGATGTATGCGGGTTGCAGGGGGGTGAGGGGTTTGGCAAGCTCTTCGGGCCTTTATTCTTGGTTTCGATGTGGCATCGGCCTGTTTCAGGGGGCTACTGTATGGGGTATAAAGGTGTAGGAGAGTCCGTTATCGTGATCAGCTAGAATGATGAAGGTTCAGGGAGCAGGCTTTTGTTTCGGGTTGATTTTCGGAGCTTTCTTAACATTTCCTCTTTGTTGGCGGATCAGACGTAAACAGCTGAGCCCCGCGGCCCCACGGGCACGGAACCGCAGAATTTGGCTCTCGCCACTGTTGGAACGTTTAGGGCTTTAGGTTCTGGGATTTGGGGTTTAGACTTCAGGTTTAGATTTTGAGGTTTAATGTAAGTTTTGGGGCTTTAGGGTCCACTTCCGGAACTTTACACAACGCCACATTCCTCCTGCTCGCGGCATGCCCGAAGGAGCTCAGACCCTGATACCTTACGCCTCACTCCTAGCTGCCTACGACAGCAAACTTGGGTACGGCCCTACTCAGTAATAGTTGAATAACAACATAGAATAGGTATATTAGGGTTTAGGCTTTTGGAGTTTGGGATTTAGGATTATAGATGTATTAGGACCTTAATAGTAGGCCTATTATAGACTCTTGCTGTATGGGGGCAGTACCTTACAGCAGACCTGAAGGCCATAAGCCCAAAACCGACAGAACAAACAAGAAAGCTCAAAGCCCCAAACCGGCCGGATCCCTAAACATCCTAAACTATACCGAGGTGGCAGTTTGGGAAACTTTTTAATATCCCATTGTGGTTCCAATAGAGGCACCTATTCATAAATACTTCAGAGCCCCAAAACTACAACCCAGATAAGCAAACGAAAGCCTTTTCGGTGCCGAGAACCGTTCGTCTCAGATTCATTCCGGTACCTGACAAGTCCGTCAAAACCAGAGCCAAACGAGTTGAAAAGCGTGAGTCCCACGCTAAACCCTAAACCCCGGGGTGTACCAAACGCCATCTCTTGGGAGAGATTCCTCTGTCCGCAGTTGGAAAAAGCCGTGCAAAAGATTCCTAAACCACTAACCCCATAGAGTCCCATCAAGTCAGCCGCACTTTGCCGCAAGCGCACTAGAAAGCCTCATCCATCTCGAGATTCCTATAGACAAACACCCGAAACGCGAAACCCCAGACCCCAAATGCCAAACCCGGCCATCGTGGCCCTACTGTGATAACTAGACTCCGGTTTACAAAGGGATTATGAGGAATATGACAACGAACTATTCGGAGCCGGTCGCCAAGGCAACCAACTGCTCTCCGAGCAGAATGTATACAGGTACTACGATGTGGCCATCAGACAGGACACTGCTTAGGGCCCGGTTTGGGTTTGGGGTTTCGGGTTTCGGTTAAATCAATTAAATCCCGGATGAATTATGGTTTCCCTGGATCCCTTCATGGTGTCTAAAGGATCCCTTAAACGAGGCTTTAACCGGCCAGCCTAGAGATGTTGGGCTTACGACCCCCGCATTGGAGGCCATGAAGCTGTAAGCCTGAATTCTTTTCAGGTGTTGGGAATTTGGGGGGCTAGAGTCGGGGGGTTTGCCGGTGCAAGGGCCTTGGCGTTGAAGTTCTGACTTGCCCCCCCGAAGCTAAGCAACACGTCAATATAGGGGCCTTCATAATTAGAAAGGGTTTGGGGGTATATACTATACTTCTAGTAAGGAAACCCCAAAATCTTTTTGTACTTATTCAGGCTCTTATGTTAATAAAGCTTGGAGGCTGGTTGGGTTCAGGTGCCCGTGAAGGCTCATGATTCGGAAGGCTTCATATGTGGATGTTACACGGTTTGTAGTGACACTACAGAAGATGCATGGCAGGTCTGCCACGTAGAGCGATGCATCGTTTGTTACGATGAGGGCTAAACTCTGAATTGACGTATGGCCGTATGGCCGCGTGGCCGCCAAGCGCATCAGCAAAGCATCTCTACCCCCTGGTAAAACACCCTCAGCCCGAAATTCCCAAAGCCTCAAGCGCTAACTCCCGAACCCTAAGCTCACAAAGTGCCTTTGCAAGACTTAACCCTAAACCCTTAACCCTAAACCCTAGCTTAACAACAATGCCAGAGGATCTCTGCAAGACCACCATCGTGGGCCTCGGATGGCTTGTGATCTTCCAGGCACGGATCCTTCTGGGCTCTGGGCTCTGGGTAATCCTAAACCCCAAACCCCTAAGCCCTTAAGCCCCGAAACCGTATCTTTTGGGATGGGGTTCTACAAAGGTTCTGTAAGGGTTGGGAGGGTTGCTATGAAGGCAGAAAAGGTTCTACTAGTGTTTGGGATTTTGTGTTTAAGTTCATTCGAGGCATTTCCCCGGGGCTTAGGCGATAGAGATACCATCATGACCATGCTTGGACTTTTGTGTTTGGGCTTTAGGCATCAGGGTTCAGGGTTTGAGTTTCGGATTCAGGGCTGTGCATTTACGAAGATCTACGATCATACGATGTTTACGCTTCTCAGTAGTGTCGTTGATTTTGGAATGGATCTGTATCCGTTGTTATGATGAGTGCTGCTTAGAAGTACTTAATGCAAGGCATCTACACTAGGCGCCCCCTCAGCCCTACCTGGTGCGAGGGGCTGCGAGTTCAGGGTGCAGTGTTCAGGCTCTGGCGGGTTAGGCTCAAAGGACTAAGCAGTTAACGGCAATAGCAATGCAAAGGGTTGAGACTGTTCGGTGTACCACGGTCCCGGGACCTGGGATCAGGGCTTCAAGATTGAGGAGTTTGCGTCTTTTCTGGTTTCGGGTTCACAGATGTAGGGGCTTTAGGGCTCTGCAGCACGGTTGGTCTTTAACGCATGCCAGTGGGGTTTCAGGAGGTTAGGGTCGCCTGTAGAGTGCCGCGACTAGGGAATCTTATCCGCGGCCAACAATGTATCCAAGGGTAAAAGGAGGGACCCTGAACAAGGACCCCTAGGTATATACCCTTAATAAAGCTATTATATACCCATTATATAGCCCATGAGAGGGTAGGGGGTCCCCATTAAGGGTCCCTCCTTTTCCCTTTTGCATGTAGAACTTTTCTTTCCGTCCGACCCATCTTCTGTGATATTGTATTCTTACAGGAATGGGGCTGTACTATGGGGCGTACATAATTTCCAATACTATTTTGGTGGTTCCTTACTATATTTATAGTTGAATGGGCCCCAACACCATATTCTGAGTATTGAGGCTCGTATATGATAGAACCCTACTATAGATCCCCAAAGAGCCTTTCAAGGATCCCTTTAAACGGAACCCTATTCTAATTATGCCAAGGCCCTTATGTTAATTGTCTTGAAGGAGTGGTTGTCACTGCCCCCTTCCAGTCGGAGAAACCGAGAATTGCGAGAAGTGTTCAGGCTTCCAGCTACCTCAGAAAGACCCTAAACCCTAAACCGTAAACCCCTTTTAAAAAAATAGACCGTAAACCCCTACACCCCTGCACCCTAAACCCTAAACCCTCAACCCTAAACCCAAACCCCCAAACCCAAAACCAAAGACCCAGGGGCGCCGACATCTCGAAGCCCTAAGCCGCAAACTCACACTCTGAACTCTGACGCAGCATTCATATAGGAGGCCAAAAGGGGTTTTAGCCTATGGGGGTTTAGTAGGGATTAGGGTTCCCATAATAGGGTTCAGATTAAGGAATCCCTACCCAAGAATCTTAAACCACCCCTTTTGGCCTCCCATCAAGCATGGGGAGAGTCCCGAGCAGGAAATCTGTGAAAGAAAAGTCCGCAAACCCCAAGCCTAAACCGTAGACGTCTAGGCTTTAGGGACCTCACCGCGTACCACAGGAATACACTGGGTAGTAGAAATTCTGAGTTGAGGGTTTTGAAGTCATGAGGTCGTCGTGGGCCTGCTGCTACTGCCCATGCTCGTCTGTGTCCGCATTCCCAGCTTTGGGGGTGGTCTTATTGTTTCAGGCTCGGGCTTCAAAGGTGCTTTACATTGAAGTATTGGGGCTTTACATCGGCTTGGGTTGATATTGGGAGTGATGTATCTAGTTTTTGGTTAAGGGGTTTGGAATCTTTGTACTCAGGATTTATTTTGCTCCCTTGATTAAAGGAATATATGAATATACCGTAAATCATATTAGGGATCCTACTAAAAAATTTGAGGTTTATTCCTTAATAAAGGGGTTTGGGAGTCTCTGGAAAGCTTCAAAGCGTGATCGTCGGAAGAAGATGTGGTGGCCCTGTGACCATCGAAATAAGGGTTTTTGCGAGCTAGGGTCGACAGTTTTGGGGGTTAGGGTTCGGGTTTAGCTTTAAGGCTCTTGGAGACTTTGTTACTTTGTTCCTTTTTTGGTTCAGGTCTTCTTTTATAGGGGTCTCCGAAAAAGTAGTTTTTTGCTTACCTTCCAAGGGGAGTAGAGTTAGGGTGTAGTGCCAGTTTCAAGATAATTCCAATGGTGCACCAAGCTCTCCGCACCCTGGACGAAGAGGGCCATGCCCAGGCCTTCCAAAATCCCTTAATTAAGGAATATACCTTAAATCATAGAAGGATCCCCAATATGATTTAAGGTATATTCCTTAATTATGGGATTTTGGAAGGTCTGGGTGTATGAAACTCATCTCTGGTTTTGCGACTTTGCTTTGTGCTCTGGGTCTGCTTCTCTTCGTTGCTGCCTCTTGCTCCTGCTGCTGTTGTTGTGCTGGTGCCGGTGCTGGTGCTGGTGCTATCTTGGGTACGGCCCCCACTCAGTAATAGTTGAATAATATTCATAATCTAGATATAGTAGGACCTTAATAGTAGCCCTATTATAGACTCTTACTGTATGGGGGCCGTACCTAAGTGCTATCGCTGGTGCTGGCGCCGTGGCACTATTCCCCCACAAGGCGCACCCTAAACCCTGAACAACTCCTGAAAAGGGTCCCTGCAAAGCCCTCCTGGGCCCTCTACCCGACCAGCAATCAGGATTGCGCCTGAACAGGTTTTTCAAACCCTGAAGCCTGAAAACCCAAGCCCATCCAGACTTCAGTCAACCAGAGCCCTAAACCCCAAACCCGAAATGCCAAACCCAAACCCGAAACCCTAAACCTTAAACCCTAAACCCTAAACCCTAAACCGCGAAATGCGAAACCCAAACCCTAAACTCCCAAGCCCCTGAACAATTGGATCAGAGCCCAGCGCATTTGCTTCAATGCCAATCCTGATGCCGACTTCTTCTACTACACTTGGGGAAAGTGCTCCGTGCCGATTGCTAAACCCTAAACCCTCGGCACTCCCCTCCTGACCTCTGGGTCTTTCGTTGGTGACATGGATGTTGCAAAGGAAAAGGAACTCTTAAAAACAAACTACAAACCTCAAAACTTGCAGTCCGAGTGCAAGCAGCGATCTTCATTCCCTATGCACTTGAACCACTACGATGCCTTGCCCGAGAGCCTCCTCAGACAGGTTCGCGAGAAGCTGGTGGCACGCTAAACGCCAAAGCCCTAAACCCCTCAAGCCCCAGACCCCTCAACCCTAAACCCCTGAACCTCTAAAGCCTCAGCCACCCTAAGCTGCTAAACCTCCAAGAGGGAACTCCCAATGTCAGGTCGCCGGGCGCTACCTGGAAGCCCGCCGCGGTTGGTACATGGAGCGGGAGGCCCCCCCTGGTGGGCTCAATATAGGGGCCAAAAGGGCTTTTAGAATATGGGGGTTTAGTAGGGATCATAGTAAGGAATCCCTACGCCAAGAATCTTAAGCTCCCCTTTTGGCTTCCCATCAGGCTCAAAGTAGGGGCCTTAATAGTTACAATAGGGTTCCTTCGAAGGATTCCTTCAAGGGATACTATAATGGATCTATGATATGGGGGCCTTAATACTCAGAATAGGTTTTGGGATATATTATACTACAAAATAATAAGAAGAAGGAACCACCAAAATAGTATGGCCGTACTAGGGAGACCGCTTTAAAGGGGACACTCCTTAACCCTACTTCTGGCTCTCTTGAAAGGGTTGGGATTTAGGGGTTCGGGGTTTGGAGGGGTTCGGGTTTAGGGCTTAGTTCGGGTTTGGGGTTTGGGTGTCCAGAGGGTCCGAAGCAAGGGGTACAGGGTGGAGGCTGTGGGTTAGGCCTCCATGGTTCGGGGCGAAACTGTACGGGTTAGAAGGTGCTGTGTGGGTTTCGCAGGTAGTGCCCAGCAGATTAGAGCAGGTGCTTGTTTGATGCAGGTTTCGTGGCGTCTCCTGCAGTAGGAGGCAACAGGAATGTCGTTTTCGTCCAAGCGTGTCATGTGATCTTGGTTATGGGATCAGGTTAGAGGTTTGGACTTTGGTTTTCGAGGGTCGGCGCCATGGTTTGTGCTTTGCCGGGGTTTCATCTAGCGTTTTCGTCCAGATTGCTCGTCACCAAAGTGAAGATTTCAATGCGAACCCTTTTGAGGGTGCTGGCTTTAGGGCTTATGTAGGGCGTAAAACGTAGGCGCCCAGGGTTGAATGTAGGGGTTGAGGTTCGGCATGACCATCATCCGCACCGAGGAACTATCAGCAGGATGCCCCACGCGGGATGTTCCTTCTGATCAGGGATGATGGTCTGAACAAAGCCCATGGCACGAAAGATATGCTAGTTGACATGGTGCCTTCTAGAGGGTTCAGGGAAAACCTTAAACCCTAAACCCTAAACCGTATCACGATCCCAGCCCCCACCCCTCCACAAAAATCACGGCCCCGGACATAAGCAGCATGCGCTAAACCAAAGCAGAAAATCCGAAACCTATGAGTCGCACAGGCTATAGCCAAAACCTCTGAACTCCAAGGAAACCCCGAAGCGGCCGAAAATTCCCTGAACCCCGAAAACCCTGAACCTCCTACCTTAGACCACAACCACGAGCTAAGAAGCCCTACGCTCGAAACCCCACACCAAAAACCTTGATACTACAGACTGTGCAGTGAAGCTCCCTAGACCCGACACAGCACGACACCCCAAGCCTTCATGCCTTGAACCGAAAACCAAACACCAAATCCGAAAACACTCTACTCTGAAACTCTAAAACCCAAGTCCCAAACCCTATGAGCTTGAGCTCCGGAACACCTTGCCCCAAAGTCCGTGGACCCACCCAAAAAACCATTCCACCCCTTGACTGTCATGGAAGCAAGGGGGTAGAGTCAAAGCCTGAAACACGCGGAAGCTCCGAATCTGCAACATGATTAGTACAGTCATCGTGACATTCACCCGGGCTTCCTTATGGCTCAGGATAAGGGGCCCCTTTTCTTTGAACAGACGCCAGCCATAGGCTACCTCGGAGCAGTGCGCTCCCGTGAAAAGCTGCAGTGTGCTGAACACGTTTGTGCGAGTGAGAAGCTAGAGCCCAATCCGGTTGATCCTGCCAGTGATCATATCTGCTACCCTGTGCAGCTTCCGCTGCATTGGTAGCGGAGCAGTTAGCTCCAGGGACCTCTGCAGTCCTTTAAGAGGACTCCCGAGATCGAGCTGCTGCTCCGGAAACCAAGCTGCAGGCCTACTTGCTGACGCTGATCTACTACCAGGCTGCAGCTGCCCGTCGGGTTCTACTTGACGGTTTTCTCCAGTTTACCAGTTGCTTTGATTCTTCTACTTTTCTTCAGAAGCAATGGCTGATTCACGAGATCGGCCCATGGTACCGAGTTGGGATGGTAGTGCCCGAACGTGGAGGCGCTACACCAAGGAAGTTCTGTGGTATGTGCAGGGAACGGCGGCTCACCGCCGACGTCATTGTGCCAGGCAACTGCTCAGTCGTCTGACTGGGCCAGCTCGCTTGCTTGCTATGTCATGGAACCACGGCATGCTTGTTGACAACAATCATGGCACCAAGCTGTTTCTTCAGAAGCTTGCCAGCAGTCCCTTGGTGCGTAAGAGCTTGCCGAATGCTGCGGCGATATGCCAGCAGTACTTCGCCTTCAGGCGCAGCCCTCAGGAGTCCATCGGGAACTTCTTGGTCAGGGAGACCCTGGTGCATGAGGAGTTCTGTGAGGCCATCATCAGGCTCTACGAGGAGAAGCAGGGCATCTCTCAGGACCAACGCGATTTTGGACTACCTGAACCTGACGACTGGGACGACCAGGCATGGGCCGACGACTCATGGGCCTGGTGGTCGTGGGAGGAGGGCGATGATGCCGACGAAGGCGAGGACCGAGAGGCCTCGACGACCGCCCATCCTCCTGGTGATGAAGATCCTGGCGCTGATGCTCGTGGAAGCACTTCACCTGGGGCCCGACTTGGGGCAACAGGTTCCTCACCGAGTCACGGCGGCAATGCATCTGTTGCAGCTGGTGGTGATGAATCACCCGCTCAGGCCGAACCGGCAAAGGAGGTCAAGCCTCCCCAAACCGTCGACGAGCTCACGATTGCCGACAGCTTCATTATGGGCGTCCTTCGAGGATGGAGGCTTCTCCAAGCCTCGGGATTAAGTCCCGATGAGATGCGGGACATCTTGTCGGCAACGAAGAACTCCCTGGACTACGAGATGATTGCCGCCGCTCTTCAGAATCTGTGGGACGACCAACTCCTCAACTCCCGTGGTCGTCACAAGTCTGGCTATCACTTGAACTACGCGAACGAGACGGAAGACTCCGACCTGTACATGCACGAGTACGAGCAAGGCTGGGACAATGGAAGCAGTGATTGGTGGGACGATGGCACGGCCTACTACACGGGCTTAGAGGATGATGCGTGGTGGTACGGCGACGAGGACTGGGCCCCTTACGAGGCCCAGAGCGCTGCCGAAGTCAATGCGACCCCGGACCCGGTTGATGAGGGCAAGCTACGTGAGGCTCAGCAAGCAGAGCAGATGGCGGAGTCTCTTGCAATGGAGGCCCAGCGGACCTGGACGGAGGCTCAACGAGCTACAGCGGCCCTGAAGAAAGACAGAGGTTTTGGTGCGAATGCTAGCACGAGCGCCTCGACACCACCGGGTCGTTGCTTCCTGTGCCATGGACCACATCTTGCTCGCGATTGTCCAGGGCGAGGATCTGGCTATGGTGGCAAGGGAAAGTTCAAGGGCAAGTCCAAGTACGGCTATGCGACCGAGATGGACGCGTACTACATCAAGGGCAAGAGCAAAGCCAAGGGCAAGGGCAAAAGCAAGAAGGGCATGTACCTGAATGCCGATGCTGTCTGGAAGGGGAAAGGAAAGGGTCCTGATTGGGGATCCCGGACAGTGAATGCCTACGCAGCGTCGGCGGACTACTTCATGGGTGGCCTTGAGCTCACAACCACCATGGACATGGCGTCGGCTACGACGAGTACGGCCAGGCCTGAACGGGGAATGATAGATTGTGGCGCGACAGCGTCGGCAGCTCCTGAAGCTGTTGTGAAGGGGCTGATAGCCTCGATTCTTGAGAAGGACCACGGAGCTCGTGTGGACATTGACTCCAACTCGCGGCCATACTTTCGCTTTGGTGACGGGAGATGGGGAAGGGCTCTTTACAGGGTGCAGTTGACAAGCAAGGCCTCGGGAACTGCTAGAAAGTTCTCCCTGTTTGCCCTACCGAACCCTAAGGAGTACTTTCAGGCTGCCTTTGACAAAAACCCCTTAGTCCCCATCCTTGTTGGCATGGACTTCTTGGGAAAGAATGGCAACGGCTTGATCATTGATTTCACAACAGGCTTGGCTACCAGTTCTCTTGATGATAATCCCAAGGTGTTTCATCTTTTGCAGAATCAGAAGGGTCACTTCATGTTGGATGTGTGCGAGTACCTCACACAAGGCCATACTGTTCTTGAAGGTCATGCGCATATTGTTGTCAGCGGCAGTGACGAACACACTCCACCTTCAGAAGTGAATGTGCTGGATTTGCATGTTGTCACGTTTGATTTGACTGTCAGTGACATGGTACATGACTCTCCTGATCTTCAACAGTCTCGTGATCGACTGCTGCAGTTGTATTGCCTGTCTCGACAACAACAAGGTCTTTCGATACCAGCAGATCTTTGCTCAATGCTCGCGACAAGCTCGTCGCTTGAAGCCCCGACAACATCCTCTTCGCGCTCTTTCTCCAATGGCGACTCCCTCGTCCTCGGTGGACCCGGAAGTGGCCGAGATCATCGCGGCAGCGGCCAAGGCCAAGGCGACGTCGGCGAAGCGCCGAACGCGGTCCCTGGACACCAACCGCTGCATGCGTGCGGATCCTCGCGACCCGCGGACAAATCCCAAGTGCTGGCCGTGCTACGGCAACCACGCACCGGGAGCCCCTCAAGCAAATGCTCACGGCCAGTGGATCCATTGCTCCGTATGCGACCTACGCCTACTGTACACCCCACGGAAGGGGTCACCCTCGAACACCACGGCAGTCCACAATGCGGCGATGGTCACGAAAATGCTGAAGCAGCTGAAGGCACTCATTGGGGATCGCAAGCCAACCCAGAAGGTATGCCACCACATGATGGCGAAGATCACGGCCGAGGAAGTGCTGGAGAAGTCGATTCGGGAGCTCATCGCGGAGCCCCTGGTGACGACCAAGATGACTCCGGCATCAGGCAGCACAGCGGACGGCTACGTGCACCTGACGACCAAGGACAACGACGAGGAGCTGATTGCGGCCTACGAAGCGGAAGCAGAAGTGGTTCCCTAGACTTGACAATGCGCCCACTCAGTCAGCATATGGCCAAGAAGATCATGCTCTTTGTGTCTTTGATGACTTCAGCGACATCCAATTTGTTGATGGGTCTTCAGTTGGATGGTTGTGATGGGTTGTGGGAAATCTCCGGTGCTCCCCACAGCTGGTTGTCACAATCTGCTATTCATCATGGACTACAAGCACGTCCTATCAACTATCAGACAGGCTACGATCTCTACAAGGATAGGACACCTGGGAACACCTACGACAACTACAACAAAAATCGCGGCCACGTCGGCTGTGGATCTCTCTACCTGGCGCAAAATGGTGTCCATGGAAGGCCATTGATCAATGCGATGAAGGACAACGGTCATCGCTTGAAGCTGGTCGGAGAAAAGAACGACGTGTTCTTCGACAAGCCGTGAACTTTGTGATCAATGTATTACGTGATGACCCAGATGTCCAAATCTACTGGGAGTGGCCCACAAACAGTGCGGGATGGTCCCAACATGCGATGAGAGAACTACAAGATTGGCTACTTCAACGAGATCTTCCCTGGTTGGCATGTCGAGTGGATGGATGCGCTTATGGTCTTCGGGATGAACAGCAGGGCGCTTTCATCAAAAAGCGATGGACTATCAAGACCACCGATGAGATCTTCCATAAACGATACCGGGCCAAGGTCTGTCCTGGACAACATCCACAAGTCGATCTCCAAGGACTTGAGCATGCACCAGTAGCCTACTACCCGTGGCGACTGGTTGAATCCATCACAAAGTCCTGGCGGGATGATGCGACACCATCTCGACATCGACAACTACTATCACTTCGACATGATCTTCCAGCTCTGTGTGATCGTGATGACTTTGGACCTCCCCGGGACAATGACTCCGATCAGTTGGATGAAGCCTGCGAACCAGAGGACATCATCGACAACAACCTCGTTGCCAGCATCACTCTTGATGAGTCCGGCCGACTACGATACGAACACATGGCACGCGAGGCCAGGATGCGAAAGCAATTTGATTTTGATGTCTGTGAGAGCATCCTCTTCTCCTTTCACGAGGCTGTTCAAGCTCGAGGTCAAGGCGCAAAACACACCCGTGGGACAATGTCCGGAGTGACAAGCTTCAGTCTCGGAGCCTACTCACATGGATCGTTCGTCGGTGTATTCAACTTTACACACAAAAGTCCAGAGCTGTGCTGTTACCTCAACCACTTCCTCAAACATCATCTACCACAACAACAATGGTCTAGCCTCATGATAACCTTGAATACTCGAGCACTCCCTCACCGAGATCATCACAACTTAAAGGGCAGCCAGAACATTCTTACTTGTTTTGGAGACTTTGAGAAGGGCGGCATTTGGTTGTCTGGTGATCCTCCAGGCGATCAACCTGTACGACGCAGGTATGTTCCTGGACGTGGATACTTCAAGGGCTACGTGAAGGCAACAAAGGGCCAGTTTGTTGTGTTTGATCCTGATCAAGTTCATGCTTCTGAAGCCTGGAAGGGGTATCGTATCAGCCTATCGGCCTATACCACAAGGCTGGCGCCCTGGCTGAGCGAAGGTGACAAACGGCTGATAACCTCTCTCGGTTTTCCTGGAAAGGCTCTACGAGAACCAGTGGTTCCCCCTGTTGACATCAAGGACCTGAACTCTTCAGAATCTCAACGTCCTGAAGCTCTCACCCAGGTGACTACAAGTAACCTGAACTCGTCAGAATTTCGACGTCCTGAAGCTCTCACCCATGGTCCTTGTCTACACTATGATCAGTTTGCTGTACTACCAGAAGGGGTTTCTCAAGCAGAGTATGATTCGTGGGTCTCCAAGGTCGCCAAGTTCCATAAGTCAGCTGGCCATCCGACCAACAGGAACCTAGCTCGCATCGTTTCTGACGGCGGACATCCCAAGTGGAAGGTGCAAGTGGCTCTTGAGCACAAGTGTCCTTCGTGCGAAGCCAATAAACCAGGAAGTGTGAGCTCTGGTCAGATACCACCGGCCAGCACAGCACCAATGTACCGCGCTTGGCAGGCTGTTACGATTGATGCTGCCGAATGGCCCATTCCTGGGACCAAGAAGAAAATGAAGTTTGTTCTCTTCATGGACTTTGCCACAAAGTTCCGCGTTGTGGCGCCTATCAAGATGTACGACATCATGGCTATGGATGCGGAGTCGGCTGATTCTGTGATACATGCATTTGCCGAGCGATGGTTGAGTGTGTTTCCCAAGCCACAAGTGGCCATCATGGATTCAGCCAAGACCTTCACTTCTCTCAAGATGCACGAGTTCCTCTCGAATGTCAACGTCCTTCCTCATTTCATTGCCGAGAAGGAACATTGGAGTCATGGTGTTGCAGAGGCAGCCATTCAAGATGTGAAAAGCACTGCCACAGCGATTCATATGGAAGCCCTGGAACAAGACCCTACGATCACACTGCATTTGGCAGCGGCGGCGCTCAACTCCACAGAGTATACTGCAGGGTTTTCCTCCTACCAGTGGGTGTTTGGACAAAACTACAACATCACCGACGAGGACTACCGCACCTTTGCCTCGCTGCCGAGATCGCAACAACAAGACTTCTCTGCGCTGGTGACGGCTAGACAGCATGCTGAAGAAGTGGCTCGTCGAACACGTGCCTCCCGTGTGCTGTCCAAGCTGGCCAACACTACAGTTCGGCAACCTCTACGTGAATTCAAGGAGATGGACCTCGTGAAGGTCTGGAGAAAACAGTGGCCGGCGGAAATCTACAAGGGGCCACGTGGCGGCTCAAAGAAGTCAGGACGACCTCACTGGATTGGACCTGGCAGAGTGGTGTTCCATGAGATCCTTCCACAACAACAAGAAGGAGATCCTCGGAGGCACATTGTGTGGGTTCTGATTGGGTCTCAACTCTACCGATGCTCAGTTCACTCAGTACGTCATGCTACGGAGACGGAAAGGTTCGTTTTTGAGACATCAGGCGAGGAAGACCCCAGCCGATGGAAGACTCTTGCTGACGCACTACCTCGACGAGAGTACCACGACATTGTGTCCGAGGAGCCAGGCGAGGAAGACACCGAACTTCCACCTCTGCCCGAACGTCCTGATCCTACAACTGTTCAGATACCCACTCGGCGAGTTCGTCAAAAGACCACCTTCAAGACCGGTGATTGGACGGATGATCCAGTGAAAGATCGTCTACAAGTGGTGCCCGAACCGGTCAACGCCTACGACGAAGAGGGCCCATCACCTACGCCTGGAACTTCCTCTACTACAACAGGACCCCGCGAGGAATCACAGCGACCTACTCCTGAACCAAAGCGCGCAAAGCTGGACTTGGACGCGACGGCTGCAACTACAACGACAAAACCGTCCTGGGTGGAGGAGCTGTACATGGCTGAAAGCCACGCTGAACAGGAGATGAATATCTTCACGGCCTTCGAAGAGTCCAACGAGTTCCTCAAGATCGAGTTTGACCTTGATGTCTCTTCTAACAGACAACAAAAGATGCTCATCAACAATCCACAAGCATTTCTTGTCAAAAAGATGAGAGACTCTGAAGTGGTCATTGCCAAACTACCACCCCAAGAACGTCAACTGTTTGTGAGAGCGAAAACAAAGGAGGTCGGCTCATTTCTGTCAAATGAGGCTGTCAGGAAGTGTCTGTCCAAGCAGGAGATCAAGGAGGCCTTTGACACCAACCGTATCGTCAAGGCCCGATGGGTACTCACGTGGAAGCTGGTTCCGCCAGAAGATCATGATGATGCCTTACGAGATGCCCGGGAAAACCCGGAGACCTTGCACGACAAGGCTGGGCGCCGAAAGGCAAAGGCACGGATCGTGCTACTTGGCTTCCAGCATCCAAATCTGCTGGACAGAAACTTTAAGACGGCAGCTCCAGTACAATCACTTTTGGGACGCAACCTCCTCTACCAAATGTCTGCTCAACATCAATGGCCCTTAGAGGGACTGGATTTGGCCACAGCGTTCTTGCAAACGCAACCAACGGAGGCGGATGCGAAGCTGTGGACTACAGGAGTTCAAGAACTACGAGATGCTCTACAAATTGGCGAAGAGGGCATCATGCGGATCTTGACAAACATCTACGGCTCCACGACGGCACCGAGAGGTCTATGGTTAGATCTACACAAGACCCTGACGGCCTTGGGTGGTGAACCAGTTCTTGCAGAACGTTGTCTGTGGATCTGGAGGTCCCAAGATCGTGAAGATGGACATCATAAGAAGGTGATCGGCGCTATGGGAGGTCATGTTGATGACTTCCATCGCATCGGCGATGGCAGTGATGAGTGGATCGAGCTGAAGGGCAAGGTGGACAGTGCCTACAAATGGGGCACAGCAAAGAAGGGAAACTACCGCCATGCCGGCACGGACGTCTCCACCATCGTCAAGCCCGACGGTGAGTTCTACATCGAGATCGACCAGTCCTACTACGCTGAGGGAATACCTGACCTTGAGATCAGTCCGGAAAGACTCCGGGACAATGGCCCTCTACGACCTCAAGAAGTTGGTGCATGTCGCACTACTTTGGGTGCTCTGCAATGGATGGGATTTCAGACGCAACCCCAGTTGTGCGCCCGATGTAATCTCCTCCTGACTGAGATTGTGGTCCAAGGATCGTTGGCACATGCTCGTGAAATACAAGAGATGTTGGGAGAGGTACGTCGAGGGTGCACAAAACTCCGTTTCTTCCGATTGCCCACGGCGACCCATTGGTCTGAGCTTGTGTTTATCTCCATGGGTGATCAAGCTCATTGCAACAGACCCAAGGGAGGTTCCACAGGAGGATTGGTGACCATGATTGCTGGTCCCGAAAGCCTTCTCGGGAAAGTGTGCCCCATGACCCTCATTGCATGGCGCACTTGGAAACTTCAGAGAAAAGCTGTTGGTTCGAACGACGCAGAAGTTCAGAGTATCCTTGAGGCCGAGGACCAGAACTTCAGAGCACGTCTTTTATGGACTGAACTTCATGGTGCTCATGAACAAGCAGACAGCCGTGAAAACCTGGTGACGGTCTCCGAACGTCAGGCTGCACAGATTCGCGGTGTCCTTTGCACTGATTCCCGTGGTGGCTATGATGCTGTCGAGGTGAACGAGAGTCCACTTTTGGGTTTAAGTAACCTACGATCAGCCTTGCAGGCCTTTCAGCTACGAGATAATCTGCAAAGAGTGCGATGTGAGCTACGATGGCTGGCCAGCGACTACGACTTAGCAGATGGTCTGACAAAGAAGAAAGCAGAGGCGCGGGTTGGCCTCCTCAAGTTCCTTGCAACGTGGCATTGGTCAATTGCTTTTGACAAAAACTTTGTCAGTGCGAAGAAATCAAAGCAACAGGGTAAAACAGCGATTGGCGAAATCGATGAGTTCCTCAAGGGAGACTCACCTGAGCTCATGCATGTCATCGCTGAAAACCTTTTTATGGTG